CTTATGTAATACCCTTTGTAATACTTTTAGCGAAAAATAAAAAAAAGTAAAAAAAAAAATAAAAAAGAAAACAAAAACAAAAACAAAAACAAAAAAAAAAACAAAAAAAGAAAAGAATTTTATGGTTGGGTCACAACATGAGGAACTGTATTTAAAGGGCCAGAAGGTTGAGAACCACTGCTCTAAGAGAAACCAGGAATCCTTGGAGGAATGGCTGGTTCCAGGTCTTGGGCAGCCCTGGAGTATCTTTGCTTCCTTGTTATTTGGATGATATCAGACTACTGGAGTCACCAGAAGGAGCCAACTGGCCAGAGATGGCACGATTCAACCATCAATAACAATAAACAAAATGGATTAAACCACACCAAGAAATCCTAATTGGCCACCACTGGTCAATGATAGTAAACCACTCATTATTTTGATAACTGGCAAGTAAAGGGAAAGAATCAAACATTTATCTTTTCTTTCCTATATTACTGGGTAATCAAATAATAGGGGTATTTGACTATTTGTATTTCAGCTAATAAGAGAAGAAAGAGTGATAGGATTAGGACACTACCATTTTACAATCTCTCATTAACTAGTGGACATAAGCAATAAACACCAGTGGCTGCTAATACCACAAAAAGAGAGACAACTGGATATTATGCTCTTCTCACAAAAGAGCACAGTACAACCTGAGTAGTGTTGCCCACAAAAATCAAACGTAAATATGATTAAATATCCAAATAAAACTACCAATTTATAGGAGATACAGATGGTAGAAGAACATGCTACATAGCACCACAGGGGTGCAATCAGAAAAACCCAGACTGTGGGAATCTCTACAGGACAAAGAATCCGGTTTCTTCATCAAATAAATTTCGAGGTGGCAGGGAGAGGAGGGGGATGCAGAAGAAACCTGAGGCATGTAGAACTCAGGCCACACAATCTACTGGGATGTGTGGCCCTTGTTTGGATTCTGATTTTAAATCCGGGTTAAGAAAAGGCACTCATGGAACTATTAGAAAGGTGAACACTTGCCTGATGCTTGATGTTATTGAAAGATTATTGCTAATTTGTTGAGATGCGATAATGGTATTGTGGTAATTAAACGAAAAGGTTAGTTCCTCTTAGGGATACATACCTAAGTATTTACAATAAAATTATATAATGTCTTGGTTTATATATACGTGAATATATATAATTTTAAAATTGCTTTAAAATAACCCAGTGGTGCCTGAAAAAAGTAAAGGGGCACACAGAGAGAATGAGGTCAGTCTTGTATTGATGCTGAGGCTGGAAGAGGGTCCATAAAGATTTGTTGCTCTGCTCTTCCCACGTTCCAACATTTACAAGTTTCATCATAAAACATTCAAATAAATCCTTCCTGATGTCATGCTCAGAGAGATAACACCAAGGCTCAGTGCATCATAGTTCTGACCAGTATCCCTTTTCTAATATTTCAGGAATCACGAAGGGTTGAGCTTTGTGCTTTAGCTTTTAAGGGGGGGTCTCCATCCCTCCCCTCATGAGGATAGGTCAGTATGTGCTAAGGAGCCTACATACTAGTACATACACCTACAAAAATCTATCTGAGAAAAAGATTTTTCATGACAAATATTTTGCTTTGAAGCTGTGAAGGGTGTGAGGGACTGGGACTTCATGCAAAGACACAGAACAAAATCTCCCCGGCACAAGCATTCAGTGAAGTTCATGGCCAGGGTGAAAGAAAAGAAGGTGAAAGTGTTGAGGTTGGTGGGTGTTCCCATCCTGAAGTTCTAAGCAAACGACCAGGCAAATCTGGATGACCAGGGACACTGGTTGTGTTTTCATGGCATTATTCGCATCGGTGCCTCTGAGATTCCTGAATTTGATGGCGCAGTCACCCCCTGGAGGGCATACGTTCCAAGACCCCTAGTGGATGCCTGAAACCGTGGAGAGTAAGAAACCCCAGTCAACTTCTTCAGCTCTGTTGGAAATGTGGCGGCAGCTTCTTCACCCGCAGACGCAGCCTCTCCGGTAATTTTTGTGTTTTTCAGCCCAAACCTATTCCTGAATTTGTGTGCCCATCCCTTCCTTGCAGTAAATGGCTCCGTGTCACTTGTTTCAGGGGGTCCCTTGCTGAAGTATTTGTACAGACTCACGCTTTCTGGCGCAACACGTTGCCATCAACACGCCTCCTTCTGTTCATGTCTTCCACCCACAAGCTTGGTGCCTGTTCCGTCTCAACTCAGCACTTATCACGCATTTTGCAGCTTGAGGTGCGACAGCAAAATGAACACGAATTTCTTTTTCCTTCACAATTTCACGGATAGAAGTTTCATTCTTACCTTAGTTCTTAGCAACCGCAGCATATGATGTTTTTTTTTCCCTTTCCTTTCTTTTCTTTATTAAGTGGAGAACTTTTACCTTTTTACTTAAAGGAAGCACTTGGCGGTTTCTCTGTGGCAAATCTGAATTGCCAACATCACTACTGCTACACTTTGGGGCCATTATTAAGGAAAATAAGGGTGACTTGAACACAAGCTCTGTGATACCACGCAAGTTGGCCTGAGAACTGAGGACAGCGACTCAGAGACTAATGAACGGGGATCTCTAACGTGTGCATCTGCTGAACAAAGGGATGAATCGCGTCCTGCATGGGATGGAGCAGGATGGCTCGAGATTTCATCCTGTTTCTCAGAACGGCACACAATTGAAAACGTAGGAGTTGTTTATTTCTGGAATTTTCTATTTAATATTTTAGGACCATGGTTGACTGCAGGTAACTGAAACTGCGGAAAGGGAAGCTGCGGGTCTGGGGGTGCTACTGTCTGTGGTTTGGGGAACACCTCTCTATTCCAGGCCCTGTGCAATGTGATAAGGTACCACAAAGAACGATGAAAAGGCCCTGCCCTCCAGGAGATGACAGGCTAGTGGGGGAAAATGACAAGTAATTTCACCCATGGGTGAGGTGCCGGTAGGGTGCAAGGAAGCCCAGGGGGGCTCCTACCCCTGTACCCTCATTAGGGCACAGATGGTGGCGAGGTGGTGAGGCTGGGAAAGAAACAGAAGCCACAGACGTCATCCGAAACTGCCAGGGAGGGCTGGGAGCCACCGTTTCTAACAATAAGCATCAAGTCAATTTCTTATTTCCTGGCCCCTAACTTCTATTTCCTCCTTCCTTCCTACAGCCAGTGAGAGGCCTAAGGTTTTATCTCCTCAACTCCCTTCACTTCGCTCACCTGCGGATCCCGCAGAGAATCTGAGTCACTTGTCCTCCCACAGACATTACAGTTGGCCCCCACCCCTCGCCCTTACCTGTGGTTTTACTTCCTGCAGTTGTGTTACCTGTGGCCAACCGTGGTCTGAACATATTAAATGGGGAATTCCAGAAACAAACAGTTCCTAAGTGTTGCACTGTCACTGTCCTGAGCAGCGTGAGGAAGTTTTGCTTTGTCCGGCTCCATTCCACTGGGGACGTGAACCCCCACGCTGCCCAGCATCTCCGTGCTGCGGACGCTCCCCACCTGTAGGCACTTAGTAGCCGTCTCCAGTTATCCAACAGACTGTTCTGGCATCGAAGTGCTCCCGTTCATGCCACCCTCCTTTTACTTAAAAATGGCCCGAAAGCGAAAGAGTGGGGATGCCGGCAACTCGGACGCGCCAAAGAGGAGTTGCAAAGTGCTTCCTTTCAGTGAAAAGGTGAAAATTCTCACCTTAAAGGGAAAGAAAAAAGGTTGCTATGCTGAGGTTGCTAAGATCTATCATGAAATTGTGGAAAAGGAGAAATTCATGCTTGTTTTGCTGTTGCACCTCAAACTATGAAATGCACTGCCACAGTGCGTGATAGGTGCTCAGTTGGGATGGGAAAGGCATTACTTTTTTGAGTGGAAGACATGAACAGAAAGCATGTTCCAGTTGATGGCAGGTGTTGAGCCTATGCAAAGATTTGAGCAAGGAATTCTCTCAAACGAGGGACACCAAGCCATTTACTGCAATGGGATGGTGACACACATTCAGTAATAGGTTGGACTAAAAAATATAAACATTACTGGAGAGAGAGAGAGAGAGAGCGCATGCATGAGCACACGTTCACATACCTCTTAGTGTAGTATATTATTAGAACTGTCCTATTATTAATTACTAGAGGCCCGGTGCACAAATTGGTGCACGGATGGGGTCCAGCCGGCCCACCCTGTTGGGGGTCGATCAGGCCGGCCGGTGGTGGGGGCGGGAGTTGGGGAGAGGGGCCATGTGAGGTTGGCTGCCGGCCCTGCCCCTGATTGGTGTGTGTGGGGCCGATCAGGGATGGGGACAGCCAGGGAGAGGGGCCGCACGTGGTTGTGGGGGGCTGATCAGGGCCCTGATTGGGCATGTTGGCCTCCCCAGTGCACTTCATAGTGAGTGACCAGTTGTTCTGGTTGTTCTAGTCGGTTGGCTTTTATATATATACATACATAGTTGTTAATCTCTTACTGTGTCTAACTTATAAGTTGGACTTTATCATAGGTATTTATGTATAGGAAAAAGCACAGGATTTGTTACCATCTGCGGTTTCAGGCATCCACTGGGGATCTTGGAACATATCCCCCGAGAATAAGGGGGACTGTAGTTGGAGATCACTAAGGGCGCAGTGTAGGGTGGTGGTTAGGAGTGTGGGCATCGTGGTTAGATGTGGGCTTGACCCATGGCCCTGTCAGCTCACTCTACCCACTTTGATGATGATGCTTTATGGATTCTACTACTGACTTACTACGGGACTTCAGATTTTGTAAAACACCGAGGATGCCCTGGAGAATATAATGCATATAACTGTAAATTTCTGTTTCTATGTAATAATGTAATGCATCTATGAAAGCTAGCCTCCTGGAATTTCACTGCGCACCTACCTGGGATGGTTTCCTCTGATGGCCTCATAAATAATAAAACCTGGAATTTGAACTAAACACAAGGCCTGGAACTCGTGTTAATGGGTGGGGTGGTAGAGAGGACGAATGAACGCCTTTGGATAGAACCATTCAAATAGATAAGCAAACCTGGGCATCTTCATATGTGTATCTCCCTCCATCTTTGACGTTTTGACTGGTTATCTCATAGCTGTGAGAATCCAGATTGATTGCACTGGGGGCTCCTGGAGACAGAAACTCTTGCCAGATTTCTTCCACCCTCTTGGCCACATCCTGCAGGGGTTGTTTCTTGAGATCTTGGACAGACAACCAGAACCTGAAGCAGAAGTAGAGAGACAGTCAGTTCCAGGGGGCTTAGCATCTGGGCTCTGCTGGATGTGGCCCCAGCACTGACATCCAGGAGACTCATTTTGCTGCACCCTCCACTCTTCCCCGCGGCCACTGCCCAGGTAACCAAGACCATAGGGACTGCTGAACACACAGACGGTGCTCTGCTGTGGTGGAGACCCGAAAAGAAGTACCCGTGAGAAGGTCGTTGTGCTCTGGTTACCAAGGAGAGATTTCTCTCCTCCCACATCACAGTTTCCCAACCACAGCACTGTCGCCTTTTTGAGCAGGATGATTCCTTATTGTGAGGCCTGCCCTGTGCACTGTCGGATGGTTAGCAGCAACCTTGGCCTCTACCCACCAGGTGCCAGTGGCAACCCCTCCCCAAGTTGTAACAACCAGAAATGTTTCCAGACATGACCACATGTCCCCTGGGAGGTGAAGTCACCCCTGGCTGAGAACCACCGCTCTACATAGATGCCAGGACGCAGACAAAAGTGAGTTCCTTTGTCTCATCTGGTTGGGATTCGTCAGTAGACTCATCAAAATGAAGGAAAGATCACAGAAACAGATAGAATCTTGCAATTATACAGAATATCGGAGCTGGTAGGACCCAGCTCTTCCTGTTACAGATGAGTTGATTCCCAGCATGGGCTGTGGATGGAAGATAAGCTTATCTGGAACAAAGCCGAAGGGGCGTCCATGGGGAACCTCTGTGGGAAGATACTCCCTGGTCACTTCCATATCACCTCTCATAAACCCCTCCGTGTCCGTGTGGCAGCGGCCGCTGGGGGAGCTTGGTGTGAGCTCTCCGCTGCTGAGAGCGGCAGCAACCAGAGCCAAAGCCTGGGCAATAGCTCCTGGGGTCCTGAGGTGGTTTCTAAGGCAGCCCTGGGGAGGGCTTCCATGAGGGCTCAGGAACAAGACAGGCCAGTTTCCGCATCAATGCAACATGAGGACAGGCCCCCGGCCATGTGACTCCCACAGCCACGGGCATCACACACAGTCTAGCCAACAAAAGGGCAGGGACAAGAGAACTGAAACACAACATGGTGGAAAATGCATTCAATCTGTCATCGAATTTCACCCAAAGTAAGATGTACTTGTTGTTTTTGAAAAGGTTAAGCGTGCTTTTCTGTTGCTGTTCACAGATGTCTTTGCAGCCAAGTGTGTGGCCCAAAGGCACCACTTAGTGGCCAACTGCGGTAATGCAGCTCCATTTCCACAAGGAGGGAAGACAGGTGTGCGCGTTAGTTCCGTTATTACGTAGAAATCTCCCATTTGCTGTTTGGGATTCTGATAATCTCCGTGAGGAAACCCTCATGGTTCCCTTGGGGACTCTGAAGAGCACGAGTGAAAGGCAGGGAAGGAGACTTATGACTTCGCTCCATGGAAAGACGAGGAAGCACAGTTCTGTCCCCTGGCTCTGCTGCTGTCTTGGAATTGTATCTTTCCAGGTGTCTCTTTCCTCACCTGTAAAATGGGCACAAAATGGAGGCAGAAATAGGCGACACGTGTTTGAAGAACTTCCCATCCAGGTGTAAGTCTGAAATGCGGTCAGGTCCTGTGGGTGGGAGCCGTGGAGGGGTCAGTGTGGTGGTCACAGGGTCAACACTGGCCAGTATGACCCTCCAATTTCACCTTTCTTCTCCAGTGACCTGGGCAGAAGCTGCCTGGGGTCACGTTGTCACCTGCCCGTCAACACCAGCCTCTTTCTTCCTGCTGCAGGTCTTTGGTGCGCATGCCTTCTGACTGCCAGGCGAGAGGAGAATGGGGTGGTTCTCTAACCAGAGTCCGGAGGCGGAGGTGGGGGTGGGGTGGAAAGGAGCTGTGAGGTGGGCCCCAGAAACCCATCTGGGGAGTGGGTCTCCTCCGTCCCCCGGCCAGCCCCCAGGTTCCTTGGGTCTCCCTGTGCCACCCCTGGGCCTGCCGTACATGAAGGAGGTGGCCCAGTGCATAAGGTGAAAATGGCCATCTGGTGATGACAGCACAGTCTTTCTCCACCCGGAGGAGAGTGTTTGACGAGCAGGTAGAGCACAGGGATCCAGCTCTAAAGCAGCAGCTGCTGTTGGCTTTTCAAAGGACCGGAGGGCGGGGAGGGCGAATGGGCAACTCGGCCAGGACCAAGCGAGTCCTCCACAGGCACGTGCTGGGCAGACGGGAGAAGGGTCCCTCTCAGCGAGCCGCCTTTGGGGCGAGTTCCCAGGCTGGCGGCCACTTCTCTGGACCAGTGTCCTTCGTAGCCTTCCAGGCGTCCATCTCTCACACAGACGGATGCCACCGGGCGATTTCCCGCTCCCTCAGTCAATGGCTCCCTGCTCCCATCTCCTGCCCCTTTCTCTAGGCTGCTCTGAGGGGAGCCATCGAGCCCTCCAGGAAGGCCCTGAGGACCCAGCGCTTCAGAGCTCTGCGGGCGCCCGTGGCTCCTGAGGCCCAAGTCCCTTTTGCAGGATGATTTAGGCACCAGGTTAATGCACATCACTCAGAGGGTCTGGAGTTGATGTCAATAGAAATTTCAGAATCAAATGCGATAAACTTTTACATTAAAAATTAAAGGATTCCCATTGTCGGGTGAAAATAAGGATTAAAAAATAGTACAGGAAGAAACAACAGGCACGGAGGAGGAGGGGCCAGAGGGAGAGGAGGGGGGTGAGGAGGGAGAGGAGGGAGAGGAGGAAGAAGAGATGGAAGGAGGAGAAAGAATAGGTTGAGGGGGAGGAGAGGAAAGAGAGTGAGGAGGGGAAGTGGGGGGAAAGGGGGAGGAGGTAGAGAAAGAAGAGGAAAAGAATGAGGAGAGGAGGAGGGAGGAGAGGAAGAACAGGAGGAGGAAGAGGAGAGAGGAGAGGAAGAGAATCCGGGAGGGGAGGAGTCGGCGGTGACATCCCTAGGCAGCAGTTTCCTCTCCCTCACACATGGAGACCCTCTGGGCCTTCCGTCTGCCTTGGAGATGACCTGCCTTACCCCTCTCAGGTGACGGCAAAAATGCTGCCACAGCAGCAGCCCGACCCCCATGTGTGTTTGCCAGCACCGGCTCTGAAGAGCTTTGTGTCAGGTTGGCATTCAGAGCAGGCTTTGGTTTGCATTTGCCATCTGCAAGCCCACGGCTGAGCTGGAGCTCTGAGCCGGCTGCCCAGCCAGTGTCCCCGGAAGAGCCCAGCAGCTCCCTCGGCACATGGGCTGTGGCCGGGAGGCCCACGGAGGCTGCGCAGCTGCTGCTCTTATCAAAAGCCTGCAGGTACCGCTGCTCCTCCAGGGCGCCAGCGGGAGGCGGCTGCCAGCCTGGCATCCAATCCTGCACTGAGCCCGTGGCGGGCAGCAGAAGGGCTGGCGGGACTGGTGTCAGGGAGGCCACCTGTCCTGCCTGGCCCGATCCTCAGAGCGCAGGCAGGCAGCCCGTGTGCCCGCGGGTGACCTGTGCCCATGGCTGAGGAATGCGGGCGGGCGGACACTGGGCTCTGGGGGGAGGCGGCCTGGGCTCAGACACCACTGGGCTGAGCAGCAGCCTGGACCTGCCCACAGTCTGGGGCTGGCTCCCTCAGGACCTGGATGCTGATGGCAACGTCGCTGGAACATGAAAAACCATTCTCCCTCCTGCCAGGGGCTCTGGGCAGGCCCAGTTCCTAGCTCACACAGCTTTTCACAAACTAGGATGTTCATGGGTTAGAAAAACCCAGTTTAGTTGGTTTGCAGAGAAAAGCAAACTCCATGCAAAGGCAGGGCTTCTGTGCCCTCTGCTGGCCAGAGACTCGGGAACAAGGGTCCAACTTGACGTCGGCTCTGCTTGGGCAGCAACCACCTGGTGCCAACATCGGGGAGGCCCCCGGGCACACACCCCGGAGCCGAGTTACGTTCACCAGCCAGTGGCTGAGCTGCCATAGATTGTCACGGCACGGGCGCAAGTCACCTCTGTCCCGATTAATCATGTGTTTGGTTAGTGGTGAATCCCACCGGGCCTGGTGAACCTTTCGAGGTCTTTCCAGGACTCGGGGCCGCCGTCGGAGAGGGGGGCTCTCGACACAAACCTGGCAACTCCCCCGCGCTCTGTTTAATTGCTTCTCCCCTCAGCTGACACCGCGTGGAACCAGGATAATCAATCTGCAGCTCAGAAGAGCAACCCCGCGCTCTCCGGAGGCGGCACAGCTCATAAAAAATGTACGGGGGACGCTCTGTGCTGCGGGTTTTGATTTTTAACTCCTGCCCTGCCGTGTGGCAGAAGGTGTGGCGCCAGGGAGGACAAAGGTTTGTGCAGGGAAGATGGAGAGGGGACAAAGGCTCCTGTCGTCACGCTGGGAAAACGCGGAGAAGGGAGAAGGGCGGCCTCAGCTAACTCGCTGGACATCCCTCCTTCAGCACTGGGGTGGGGTGGGGGGCCCTTGTGGAGGAGAGGCCACCTGCCTTCCAAAGGCCCCGACCAAACAGCAGTGTCCAAACGGAGCCAGAGCTCAGCTCTGGGCGCCACAGACAGTGTGCTCTCACATGCGCTGTCTGTGGCAAATGTGCTGGCCACCCCTGCAGGCCCCGAGCTGTGCCCTCCCTCCCTCGCAGCTCACCCCCCGCTGACAGTGTATTATCACAGACAGCTTTCCTTAAAGGACCAGGTGACCCTTTGCTGTGTGACAGCAATACTTGTGTCTCTTCGGAGTTCCTCTGCCTGCATTCTGAGGCTCCGGTGTAAATTCAGCCCTCGGGCTCCTTAATGGCACTCCGGCTGCTGTGCGAAGGTGTTAGGATCCCAGTGCCCCTGTCCCTGGAGAGATGCCGGGGAGCTCAGGAAGCCAGGCTGAGGGGCCCTTTGCAACACATCCAGTTGCATTCTGGTCCATCTCTCTCTCTCTCCCTTTTCCTCCCATGCTCCAATGTCAGTTGCCTGGGATCCTGACCAATCCTGGGGAGCAGGGCCGAGCCTGACATGGCCAACACGGCGGATGGGCAGGATCTCCGAGTTGTGCCACCTGCACAGCTCCGGGGGCTGCCATTCTCACGGCTCATGTGGAGGTGCACCCAGTCCAGGGCTACACCGATTCAGCACCCAGTCCTCGGGACGTGGATCTGGGCAGGTTCTAAGCCAACACAAGGGCAGGGGAGAAACTGCCTGGCGATGAGTGACGGAAGAGTCCTGAAGTTGTGTGATTGAAATGTGAGCTTCGCTCCATATATCCAATTATGCTGAATATCACAAGAGTGGAATTCGGACCTCCAGAGAGGATTTAGGAGCTTTTGGCCCATGCTGCTTATCTCTGGCTTTTCTATATTTTCTTTGTCCTCTCCCACCACAGGGATCAGAGGGGCCCCTCCCTACGTCTGGATTTATGCATTCATTGGCGATCAGTCACCAGCACGCTCCCGCACGCTCGCACACACTCTCTCTCCCCAGGCTGAGTGCAGCCCTCCTGGCGCGGGAGGAAGCTGCTGGCAGAGGTAACGGCAGGCGGACGCGCTGAACATCTGCCAGGCGCACACTCCGGGCCTGCAACGTGATGCATTGGGAAACTAGCCGAACTGTGAGGCGGGTGTGGCTACACTCAGCATGGACAGGGCGGTGCTGAGCCGCAGACCTCCTGCTCCTGGGCACCTTGCAATGACCAGGACCCGATGGCCATTCTTCAGTCTCTGTAACGGTGCAGGTGGCAGAGGGTCGTAGGGCCACTCATGGGCCGAGAAATAGTCAGGTAAAGGGGGCCTCTGGACCACTCCATCTGGAGGACCCATGGGGGTCAGCATGAGAAGGGGAGACGGAAAGGACTTCGGGGGCGACTCATGGGGACCCAGCTGGGGTTGGAATCTGGGGCTGAAGTGGCCACACAGAGCAGCTGCCTGGATGCCTCGCGCTGGCCATAGAGGGCACGGCTTTCCACGCAGGACCTTCATCCCGGCACAGCCCGCAAGGCTGGTCTGAACCCCACCCCACATAAATTTCAAAGTCAAGTCTTCCACTCCAAGCACCTGATCTGGAACTGAAGCAAAGCTCTAAGATGCATTCAGTGTGACGCCTCAGCAAGGAAAGAACTCGTGTCATAACCGAAACAGTTACCCAACCCTATCTGGTTTACAACAGGCACATGGCTGCCTTGAGAGGCATCGAGACATACAGTGAATTGCCATCTACAAGTCCTCCCAAGTCTTAATGGATCAGAGGGTCATCAGCTTAGAGTACTCTCTCTCCTTTTTCATCTGTCAGTATCCTACTCTTCTACTCTGGCTTACATTCATCCCTCCCTTTCAAAACACTTCTAACACGGTTCTTAGAGTTTATACTTATTTATATTCATTTAGCGATGTCAGAGTTTTCCGTGTCTTTTCCTCAGCAACCTACAAAGGTTGTTGCGGGCGAAGATCATGCATCTTGACTTCCCGGCTTCCCTCGGCAAACGTTTGTGGGGCTTGCTATGGAGGAGGTGTGCAGGAAATCTAATTTGACTGATGTATGGGACTGATATGGTCTCTCACTCCAAATAAATCATAGGGGCTTTGCACGTTAACACTGCAGTGGACCATTCTTTTTTTACCCACAGTACATGCTCTGACTTTTCAAAGTTCAAAAACCTTTTTAAAAGTTAAAGCCACTTTGAAACAAGGCCTTGAAAGATGGGAATTAACCTGCCTATAAAGGAGAACCTGGCACCAAGAAAAATGGAGATTTCCATCTTCCCACTGAGACGTCACCAGTTGGCTAAGACCACTAATGGGTCTTAGATAAGTGACATGTTCCATAGGTCTGTGCTTCTACATCGAATACAACGAAAACCTGAATAAAACACAAGTTCTCAATTTTTCATAATCATGAGTCTTTTCCTTTTTAATGTACCCCCTTTTCCTTCCTCTCTCAGTGGACCTCACATTTTGAAAGCCTTACTTTTTCTACTGAGTAGTAGTTATTAATACATTAGTACATTTTCCCTTATCTTGGTGCGTCATAGTCCAATAGTCACAATGAGATGTTCCACTCACATCAGGTGACCAGGGTAGACATCCCCCCAAAAGAAAAGCTCATGTGTTAATGAGTTTTTGCAGTTATGTCTGCAGTTAATGAGTGATATTTACTCTTGCTTTTTGAAATGCTGAAACAAGATTGATGTTTCTCTCTTTCTCTCCCTTTTCGTTCTGGTTGGCCTGTCAAATATTCAGGATCCCAGACTTGGGGAGTTCAGGAGAGGGTGTCTGCATTGTCTTTCCTCTGAAACCCCCTGGCTCTGTGGTTTTACTTTATTTTTTTCTAAATATATTTTTATTGATTTTAGAGAAGAAGGGGTAGGGAGAGAGAGATAGAAACATCAATGATGACAGAGAATCATTGATTGGCTGTCTCCTGCACACCCCCACTGGGGATCGAGCCCACAACCCAAGCATGTGCTCTGATGGGAATTGAACCCTGACCTCTTAGTTCATAGGTCGACACTCAACCACTGAGCCATGCCAACGGGGCTGGCTCTGTGGTTTTAGTTAAACAGTGGTGTCATCAAATCCATTTGACTATTTACTTGTTATTGGAGACATGTTTCCAATAACTTGAGGCAATGCCATCTGGACTTGAAGAACAATAAATGCTGGTGTTGTAGGTGCTAATATATGGTGACAGCCAATCTACATATGGTTTGTTTGTCTCCATTTCAATCTTCGCCAGATCAGCTGGAATTTGTGTTTGAACCCCAACATTTTATTGAAACAGGGAGGCAGAAAGGGAGGCTGATTATGCAAATTCCAGCCTCACACACACATACTGCACACAGCTCAAACCTTTGAGGGATTTACCTGAGGTTTTCTGAACTGAATTCCGACTCCAGGAAGCGTAGAAACTGGTCCCGCCCCACCTGGTCCTTCAACATCTCGTCGAAAGAGAAGCCCCATCTCTTTACTCGCTGCTGGCTGGGCTCTTTGCTTTTGGGGGGGAACAAAGGTTTAAAAAGTGATCAATATCAGGCAACAACCTGTGTCACATTCTCTCCAGCAGGTCAACTCTATTTTGTTGCCACACGCCAGAGGGAAATTTCACAAATGTAAGTGACAATACAAACTCTAAATTGTAGACTTCTGTACACCAACGTCAGCCAATGGTAAAGAGTCTCTTTAAGGAAGGCATTTAGGGTAGGTTCACCAGGAGGCGTGCCGCCTGGCTCCTGTCTGCAGGAAATACAACCCCACTGATTCGGCTTCCCTGGGCATTCCTGTCAGTGATTGGCCCAACTCTTGACTCCATCATTTTTTTTTTAAATAACTGAGGATGCCTTGTGAAGCCCACCATTCATCAGAGACAGTGTCCCCACCTCTCACCCCTTCCTCAACCCACTGGGGAGAAACAGAGCCCTGTTTAGATCCAAGTGATGTGTCACTGGTCAGACATGAAACAACTCATGTAGGATAAAACCTGCTCACTCATTCAGAAGCAGAATGCTGTATTCGTTTATCAATTTAACAACCACCTGCTCAGTGCTTATGATGTTCTAGGTATTTCATGTCTGTTAACTCACTGAACCCTCACAACTACTCTGTAAAGCATGTACTGGCATTACCCCATTTGACAGATAGGGAAACTGAGGCCTTGTGATAATTTGCCAAGGACACTAAGGGAGTCAAGACTCAAGTCCAGACAGTGCGGCTCCAGAGTGCAGCTCCTAACTCTGCTGTGGGCGCCACAGCCACGTGACCCTCCCCAGGCCCATTCGGGGTGGGCGGGGAGGCTTGGAGGGGGAGAGATGCTGGTCTTATTCTTTTGGTTTTAAAAGATGCAAATATTCCCTTCAATTCTGTCTTTCCATTTACACTTCACTTGCTGTATTTATTCCCCTGGCCCTTTAAGAAGCAGTAGAGTCCTAGTTCATAAGTCACATGCTGGAATCTCCCACTCAAAGAGTGGTCTATGGACCTGTGGGGAATGTCACCCCACTCAGACACGTGGAATCAGCATCCGCAGGGTAATAAGATTCCTGGGAGAGCTAAGTGCACATTAAGCTCTGAGAGGCATTGGTCTAGCAATACTTATTTTTCCTCTTTTAAAAAATTGACATTTGCTTTTCATTATTTCTAACACACATTAAGTAAATAAAATCACTTCCTCGTGTTATGGAGTTGACATAGTCTCAGTATTTATTTTAGAAAATTACACGTAGTAAAGGAGAACAAAAGCATGTGTGTTGAAAGGTTTGGAACAACAAGTAGCTCTAGACCAGCACTGCCAGTCGAACCTTCTGTGATGATGGAAATACACTATGTCTGTGCTCTCCGGTACGTAGCCACTAGCCACACGTGGTTCTTGAGAACTTGGGTAGTGTGACCAAGAAACTGAATATTTAATTTTAAGTAGTTAAAGTTGAAATTGAAGTGGCCACATGTGGCTAGTGGCTATGTATTGGAAAGCGCAGCTCTGGACTTATGCGATTCAAGCCCAGCCCTTCCGTTTCTGCACCCCTGGACATAACCAGCAGCAGCAGCAGGGCCGTCTAATTCTGAGGTTATGTGTTCGGGCTCGGAGGCCCTTGTGCAGAGCTCTGCCTCTCCAGGATTAGCCCAGCGGAGTCATAGGAGAAGACGAAGTCCACCAGGAGACCCAATGGGGAATTCCATGAACGATCTCTTCCAAAGTGCCAGGTTGGGCTTTCTAGAACAAGCCAAGAAGACAGGCCCTGGATTCTCTCAAACTCCAGCCACAGAACCAATCCCACTCAACAGAGTCCCAGGAGACTAAAAGTACTGCGTATAAAGAAAATAAAGAAATATCCCCTGCCAGGCCAGTGTGGCCCAGGGGTTAAGCGTTGACCTGTGAACCAGGAGGTCACGGTTTAATTCCTGGTCAAGGCACATGCCCGGGTTGCGGGCTCGATCCCCAGTGTGGGGCATGCCGGAGGCAGCCGATCAATGATTCTCTCTCATCATTGATGTTTTAATCTCTCCCTCTCCCTTCATCTCTGAAATCGATTAAAAAATATATTGAAAAAAAGATCCCCCTAGGGTTGAGGCTAGCAGCAAATGTGAGCCCCATAGAGCTGCAGGATATTGTCTCTTTCTGCCAGGGTCATGCTGTTGCCTGGGATGGGCTCAAGCACCCGCTCTTTGCCAGCCAAGGTCGCAGGGCTCTGCAGAGATGGTGCTGGTGGCAGCTGCACCCTGATCAAAGGCTGTGCCTGGAGGGCCGGGTGTGGGACGTCTCTCAGTGTTTGTAGTGATTGCCTCTGGGACGTATTCCCACCACCTGTGCCTCTACTTTCTGGTACCCAATCTAAAAGCCCTCACTCACTCCACCAGGTTCATTGGTGGTGGCAGGGGTGGGAGGAAGGCCTTTTGGGGGATGGGCCAGAAAGCTTGGGGTGTCATGCTGGATGGAGAATCAGAGGCCTAGGACAGAGGTCGGGATGTCCAGAAAGCTGTAAAGCCAGCCTTCAGCAGAAACAAGGATGTCTGGAGAGACAGGATACCCTCGTGTGGTAGTTTCCTAGGGCTGTTGTAACAAAAGGACCAACAACCTGGCTTTAGAGAGTAGGAAGTGATTCTCTCACAGTTCTGGAGGCTAGAAGTCTAAATCAAGGTGTTGGCAGGACCATGCTTTCTCTGGAGGCTGTTAGCTTCTGGTGTGGCCAGCGGTACGTGGCATCCTTGGCTTGCACACGCATCACTCGTCTCTGCCTTCATCCTCACGTGGTATTCTCCCTGTGCATCTGTGTCTCTGTTTTCTCTTGTGACAAAGACAGCAGTCATATTGGAGCAGGAGCCTACCCCATTCCAGTGTGGCCTCATCTTAACTGCCTGCATGACCACAGCCCTATTTTCCAACAAAGTCATGTTCAGAGGTTCTGGGAAGGACATGAATTTTGGGGGTGACACTATTCAGCCTTGAACATCCACTATCCATTATTTACAATCAATCCTTTTTCTATATCTGGATGCCAGTCCATCTGGCCATTGGAATCTACTCCATTAAAAGCTTTTGGGATAAAACTTCTCTATATGTGTGTTGCTGGCATTACTTGAGTATTTCCAAACATCTTCCCCTTTAAGGTTCAAGATCAGATCTGAACATGTTGCTACTACTGAGTGGTCTCTGTGGTTATAAAATAATTCTGAAAATTATTCCCAGGTGATGGGTACAATAACTTTCCCATGGCCCAATTCAAACAAATAATCGCCAGAACTCACAGCCCCTTACATTTCCATCATTGTTTAGAACTGCTTCCTTATGCAATGGTTTTATTATCGTTCTGTATCATCATTTAGCTGTTTAAGGGTTTATGTTTAGCTGTCGCATGAGCCCTTTGAGGGCAGAGACCATGTGTCATGTGCCTTTGATTCACTACAGTGCTTTTTACACAGCAAGTCCGACACTGGGAAGAAATCAGTAAGAAGATGTGTGTAGTGACGTGGGTGATGTGACCTTATCCTGAAGGCATTTTCTACTTGCTACCTAGGTATCTTTTTCTAGCTCTTCCTTGTTCTCCATGCCCCCTCATCTCCCCAAATTCCTGACTCCCACTGAGGAGTTCAAACCAACACATAGCAAAGACAGGTGGCTCTCCAAAGGAGTCCAGCTCTCATTTCTGCTGACCTACCAACTCAGAACGTAGCACAGAGTAGGTCTGCAAAATAGATTTGTTGCATGAAACTAAGAAAAAAATGGCTTATATTACTGGTCATCTCTAGCCTTTGTTTCACAGACGGGAACCATGGATGGGCTGAAGTGAGATGTTGGCCCTGATCCCCAATTGTGCTCTTCCAAAGACAGGTCCCCAGCCACTGCCAGCATGAGAGTGGGTGGAAATGTCCAGCTGGGAGAAGAAACAGGCCTCCACGGCTTCTCTTCATGTGCACATGTATCTCAATAACCTGTTTCTGCTTGAAGGTGGACAGAATGCTGTAGGTGTTAGGTTAGGCATCGAGATTAGGGTAGAAGCCTGAACAATAAGAGCAGAACCAGAGCACTAGTTGTAGGGGCAGGTGGCACCCACCTGGGGACAGAGTTCTGATAGGCTGGAATAAACCAACAGGTCAGCTGGCCACCATTTCCCCACACTATCACATGCTTCTTTGTTGACTTTCGAGAAAGGAGGAGGAAATCTCAGGGTTATTATCAGGAACTAAGTTCATGTACTCATCTCTCCTCCTTTCCCAAATACCAATAAAGCGACCAAAGGAATAGTCACTTCTCTGTCTATCCTCCACCAAACCTTAGTTTTTGAATGCCTACTGTGTGCCTGATCTGGGCCTAGGTGCTAAAATAATTTTAAGTCCTATTTAGAAAGAGAACCAGGGGGGTGGGGATGTCATATGGAAGGACTGGGAGGAAGGGGCAGCTACTCTAAATGGGGTGGTCACAGAAGACCTTTCTGAGGAAGGGACACCAATGCTGAGTGAGACTCTGTGAACCGCACCAGGAATTTTCAAATTGTTCTGTGCCTCAGAATTGCCTAGAAAGCTTGCAGAAAACAGACCCGCAGGGCATCTGTATTTTTAATGGGCATCCTGGGTGATTCTGATGTGCCCTGTATTTTGAGAACTAGTGACCCACGCAATTGCTGAGGGAGCCCTCACCAGCTACTGACATAGTCCATCTGAACCAGGGCTGCATGTTAGAATCACTTGGGGGGATGTAAAAAAAAATACCGATGCATCACTTCCAGAAATTCTGAGTTAATTGGTCTGGGGAGGAAAGTAGGCATTGGCATTTAAAAAAAAAAATAATGCTCCAGGTGATTCTAATTTATGGCCCAAACTGAAAGCTAAGTCCTTCAGTCTCCCAAACTGCTGGGTACGTGCCAAGACTTATGCGCTCTGAACAGGGATTGGAGTGATGAAACATTGACTGGAAATAGCACTTCTCCAATCAACGACCCCTGCGAAACAGGCTAAGCTGCAGAAATTGAGGAGATAGATGAAAAATCAAACAACCCCAAAAACATATCCTACCCTCAGGGGAATTCATGAGGGGAAACACCACCAATAGGACAGAGCAGGCTACTAAGGAAAAGGAGCCCAAGAAATGTTAGGGATTCCCAGAAATGAAAAGAGCAGGATTGTCACCACCCCTCCCAACACTCAGTAGGAAAAGAAAAACTCATGAAAGTATGAAACTACAGAGTGGACATCATTGAAAACAAAAATGTGACTCTGAAGAGGAAGTCAAGGAATTCTGTCCTTGAATAGAGAATAACAAGAGTAGTAGAGGAAAGATAAGAGTGGCTGCTCCATCCAGAGGCCCAGAATGCCTACAAAAGGACTTCCTGAAAGGAGAGAATAAAATGGAAAAAAGAGAAGCAGTGATTTAAAAAGTGGAAAACCCCCCACAATTTCCTGTTAAAAAGATTTAAGTTCTTGGGTAAGATTAAAAGGAACAGTCTAGGGCATGTTTATTTATTTAAAAGGCAGGTCCAAAGAACTTCAAATGTATTTATGTTCTAACAACTTAGTAGCTATTGGAAGTATATGTAAATTGAAAGAACAATGAATCCATTTGCTTCATTCTTATATAAACACATGTGCGCCACTGAGCGCTGCACATCTTCGCAAACTCTGGAGTCAGATTGGACTCCGCCACCCTCATTTCCTGTTCCATGTTGATTTTTGTACAGTGCTTGCTTTTTATCACAGCCAACTGCTCTGAAAACCCAGATTTGCAAACCCTGGAGGGGATGGAATGGGATCTAATGTTGAAAACAGTGAACAACTTTAACAACCTTAACTAATAGTTGATGCAGCATCTGACATATGTCACACGCCACTGCATTTCCCGCAGGGGCTCAGGGTACAGTGATGCAGTTTGGGAACCACGGCATTAGACAATAAAGTTCTTTCTAGAAAATGACACTGGGTTGGAGGAAGAGAGATTTTGTTCATTGTGTATGTCTGACTAGTTTAAACATCTCTCTATATAAAAGGCTAATATGCAAAGTGTCCCCTCGGGAGTTCGACTGGGAGAATGGGTGTTGGGTCGCTTGCTATGACGTGTACTGACCACCAGGGGGTGGTGCGGAACACTGTGGGCGACCAGCAGCAGAGGCAGGGCACTGAGGGAGTGAGGGAAGGAGGAGGTGGGGAGGAAGGGAACCTGATTGCTGGCCAGGCCTAGGGACCCTACCCATGCATGAATTTCACGCACTGGGCCTCTAGTTTTATAATAAACACCAATGACTCTTATTGCTTTTTATAAGGTTTTTCCATTTCAAGAAAAGAATCCAGAAAAAGAACGAGAGTGGAAGCGAATGACAGAGATAATAAAGAAATGAGGAACAGGGGTTGAGGGTGCCCAGACCCCTACACCAGATCTGTCCAGGCCTCTCCTTTTGCAACTGTGGACATGGGCCAAGTCCCTCTGGGCTTCGGCTCCTCAGCCATTAAGCAAACACACTAGCTCTCCTCATGGCTGAGAAGCTACTGGATGGAGTCACCCCTGTCAGGTACTCCAGAGGAACAATGATGAAAACCACAGCTTGAAGCCCTCTGCCTGGGGTCCAATCCTAACTCTGCTACCTACTCGCTGTGTGACCTTGAGCAAGTTCCCTAACTCCTCTGTGCCTCAGTTTCCTCATCTGTTCAATGGTGAAAATAGTAATGTTTACTTGTTGTGGGATTCCATGTAAGACACTTAATATATTATTACTGTGTGTATAATATATATATACACACATACACACATACATATATATATACATACATATATATACATACATATATATATATATAATCAATATATATATCAATAAATTGGCCAACAGATTCTTTTCCTCTGGCATGGTCAGAGAGAGGTCAGAGGGAAGGCACAAAGGATCCATGTACAAGCCAAGCTATAAGGAGGGAGAAACCACGAGTACGTAGAACTTGGTGGGGAGGTTACTTGAGGTTTCTGTTCAAGTGACAAACCTCACAATCTCGTACATTTTCCCACATCTCTCTCACTCACAAACATTAAAACTTTTTTTTTTTTACCTCATCTCTATGTCCCATAAAGTGACATCATCACTGATCCAGGGATTGGATGGCTCGGCTGGTGTTATCATAGGATCGTATTCCACATACTGTTCCGTGTAAGCAATTAAGCTGCAGGAGGGAAGCAGAACAGAAAATGCCATTGAGTTCCTGTAAACACTTTTATTCTGTTTTACACAAACATTGTATCGGTCTTAATATAATTCCAAATTAAAGGGAAAAAATTAGCACCACTCCCACTTTTGACAAATTGAACTGTTTTCCTTTGCCCTTGTGTACTGCAGAGCTAAGTAGCATATTACTTTTTTCAAGTGTTCCTGCAAATCTCTAAAACATTCAGCAATAGTTTTCCCATTTCTTAAGCACATCAGATAATCAATCCATTATCTCCCTGTCCCCAGAGTTTTGAGTCCTTTTGCTCCAACCTGGACCGTTTGCTCTGTAGATTTGATGCAAAATCATCATCCTGGGACCTCCTTGACTTTTGTGTTGAAGCCCTTGTTTCCTGGTTCCGTGTCTGTCTGTTGGTTTTACTCCCTGGTTCTGTGGAAGCACATCCTTTGACTTTATCTCAATATTTGACTGATAGCGCTGGACATGAAACCCAGAGTTAAAGACAATTTTCTTTCAGAATTCTGAAGACATCGCTCACTTTTTTATTTATTTGTTTTGGCACTCAGAAGTCTGGATCCATTTGGATTCTAAACAGTTTCTTTTCTCTCTGGAAACTTAGGATCTTCTCTTTATTGCTGTAGTCCTCTGAAATTTCACCATGGTCCTTGCTGGTTGTTTTGTTCACTGTGCTGGGTACAATGTACAATATATTTCCCATAAGTATTATTTTTTGCTAATGTCATACTATTTATTTTTCCGTTCTATAATTCTTTAAAAACATTTTTTTAAGAGAAAGAGGAAGGGAGAGGGATATAGAAATAGAAACATTGATGAGAGGAATATTATCAATCGGCTGCCTCCTGCACATCCCCTACTGGGGACTGAATACACGACCCAGGCATGTACCCTGACCAGGGAACTGAACCAGCGACCTCTTGGTTCAATTCTTGGGTTGACACTCACACCGCCTGGGATGTATAATTCTTTTTAGTTAAATATCAGACATCTTGAATTGATTGATAATCTAATTTTCCCTCCCATTTTCCATTTTTTTTGTCTTTTTGTTTGACAGTTCTTGCAATTTTTTCCTTTCTTTATTTTAATTTGAGCTACCATTTTCTTAAGTTTCCAGAGTTCACTCTTGTTTATCATAGTATCTAGTTCTTGTTTTATGGATGGAATATCTTCTCGTATGTCTGAGGATATGAATTCTATATTTTTATTTTCAGTTTCTTGAATAGTTTTTGGTTCCTCCAGGTCCCTTTTTTTGTTTGTTTTGATTACACTCCTTCACACTGGATTTTTTCTTGAGCATCTGGCAAACCTCTGGACATCCATTTGTCCTTAAGCGGGAGGTACTGAAACCTGCTTGGAGGCTCAGTGTGTATGTGGACAGAATCTGCCGACGGATGGGCTTCACGCTTGGGTCACTGGGCAGCTTGCCAGTCTTTTCGCTAGAGCTCCAACGAGGGATCTGGCATCTGTCTTCTGGGGACATCCATTTTTCTCTAGAACGGGGGAGGCAAACTTTTTCTGGAAGACCCTGATAATAAATATTTTAGGCTTTGTGGAGCAGATGGTGTCTGCTGCAACAACTACTCAGCTCTTTTTGTAGCCTTTTTTTTTGAGAGAGAGAGAAAGGGAGAGAGAGGAAGAGGGAGAGGGAGAGAGAGAGAGAGAGAGAGAGAGAGAGAGAGAGAGAGAGAGAGAGAAATTGATGTGACTAAAACGTTGATCTGCTGCCTCCTGGGCATGTGCCCTGCCTGGGAATCAAACCGGTAAGCTTTAGGGGCACAGGACGATGCTCAATGAATTGAGCCACTCCGGCTGGACAATAATTCTTGAATGAATGCATGTGACTCTTTTCCAATGAAACTGTATTTGCAGAACCAGGGAGTGGAATCGATTTGGCCCACAGGTTGTCTCTTGATTGTGGGCATATACACCTGGCTCCTGGAGGGCTGAGAGCAGGACAGGGGAGGGTTTGAGAGTCTCATAGCCCAGTATGTAGATCTTTTATTAATTCTCCTGTTTTCAGCTGGCCCTCTATAATGTGATGTGACTTTTGAGCTGATGTGGCTCAGTTTCTCCAAAGAATAAACTGCCTATCCCCTACGGTGGTAGTTATTGGGGAAAGATGGTCTCCTAGTGGGGCAGGGATCTAGCAATCCAAAGGCCCCAGGACAGGCTTTACCCATCCTGATGGGGTCAGCCCCCCGCCTCATTCTTGCTTTCCATTGTCCCTGTGCCTTTAAGAGCCAAGGCCACATTCTGTTGGGCAAACTGGCTCACTTTGTTATAAAACTCACACCCCTAACACATAGGTTATAATGGTCATCACTTGGTCTCCATACATTTTAAAAATTAAATTTAGAAATATTTCAGGCGTACAGAAAGACATAAAAGTAAAGGTAAGAAAGGTATAAAACGGTAAAAATGTCACCTTTGAACTCACCACCCAATTAAAGAAGTAAAACATTACAAACAGAGGAAGAGTCCTGAGGTTATTAATGCTCCCCAATTGCTTAGATTTTCAATCTTCAACAAATTTGCTGAAATCATTAATTCAATGATTTGTTGACTTTGAGTTCATGCCATTTTTATTCATTCATTGATATGTTGCTTTTGGGGAGGAGAGAAGAGAAACATATGTCCACAATATTGTCTTGTGTGAATTTATTATGATTTATGTAATAATTTCCTTTCCAGTAGACACAGACTTTTAATTTCTTTAGTATACATAGTGCTGTAGTAGCACACCCTTGTTCACATTGGGTTTTCCATCTTCTGGGTTATTGAGAATTGACATTCACCACTAGAATTACTTGTGCCAAAAGGTATGGATATTTTTATGCTTATTGATCCACGTAGGGGAAAAAAAAACTTTTCCTAAGCCCTGCCAACTTGAGTGCTACGTTTCCTCTGGGCAATTCAGTGAGGCATGGCTTGCAGTGATTGGTCAAGGGAAAAGGAGGCATGGGTGTAAAGCATCATGGAAGAGTGACCATCATTCCTATTTAAAAAAAAATATATTTTTTATTGATTTTAGAGAAGAAGGAGAGGGAGGGAGAGAGAGAGATAGAAACATCAATGATGAGAGAATCATTGGTTGGCTGCCTCCTGCATGCCCCCCAGTGGGGATTGAGCCCACAACCGGGGCATGTGCCCTTGACCTGAATCAAATCCGGGACCCTTCAGTCCGCAGGCCGATGCTTCTATCCACTGAGCCAAACATCTATCCACTGAGCCAAACAGACTAGGGCCATCATTCCTATTTTAGAAACATAATGAAAATGTACTGAAACACTCACTAGAATCCTGGGAACCGCATGTGGGGAGGGGTGAACAGGAGTGTATGTTAGCACCCCCTTCGCTATGTGCAGTTTCTGAATGATGATGCACAAACAGAAACCGGACAGGAAGAGGGTCGGAGTAGAAAGGGAAGTGAAAAGCAGAGCAGCATCGCAGAGAGGGAAGAAGAAAGCATCAATTCATTAATCTAATGTGTTTTTCACGGTGCAGGAGGTGGGGGAGGGGAGAGACTATAAAGCAAGAACTCCTTAATTGCAGGTCACTCCGAGAAAATATAATCAATAGGGAATCTCAGAATGAGTGGAGTGGAGGGATGTGAAGGTGAATTTAGCCCCTGGGAAAGGAGAGCATATGCCAGGCCAGGCATGGTAGTCCTGGTAGGTCATGATCTGAATACAACCACCTGGCTGTAATGTCACCTCTCATCTTTTCTTTTCTGACACCTAAGATGGGCTGGAAGCAAAGAGAAGAAAGGACCCCCCGGTGTCTGGAATCACATAAAAGCAAAGTTGTAAGGACCTCTTTGGCTCATTTTTTTTCCTCCCCGGAAACTATCATTAGACATTAAGTTCACGGGTTGGTATCACTCTAGCAGGTTTTTAATAGACCCTTAGGGCATGCAGCCCCTTGCTATCGTATCTCATTTTATTAATTACACTTTGCGATTACAGCGGGTCAGGAGGCAGAGGAGGAACCAGCATCCAATTTCAGGGAACAGTAGCGATCTGGAGATGGGCAAGGTGATGATAAAAAATCAATTCGGCCGTCCGCTGCGATGCACAAATGGCTCCAGGGTAGGGCAAGAATGAGCCAAGCCCAGGAGTGGATCTACAAGGACACAGCTTGATCTGTCCGTGTGTGGCAGCGTGGTGTGACTCCTGCAGTGACCTGCGTGGTGCCCTGAGAGGTGGGGAGAAGTCTCTGGGGACATCCAGCAAAACAGAGAGACTTTCCAGAATATTTGGAACTAAAATGTGGATTTCTGCATTCCCAAAGTTGGTTTGCTGAGTGCTATAAGGCTTAGGTGAATACAAAAGGGGCCCCTTGAGGACTCTGAAGAAGAGTAAGATCTCATTTACTAGTACTTGGCAACTTAAATTGTTGAGAGAATATGAGCGAGATAAGTGACCAGAAGGGCCTCTTTCTACAATGAAATAAACTCTGCCTCAAGGCTTCGGAAGAGCACCTCTCAGAGAAGATTCTTGCTTTAGGATCAAGGCTAAGGAACTTAGTTATTTGATTTCCTTAGTGTTGTAGATCAACATGAAAAAAATGAAATCTGGTTCCCTAACCCCTGAATCTGGTCTGGGCTTGTGACTTGTTTTAGCCAATAGAATGCAGCACATTCTCAAGAGGCTGGATGCTTCTGCTCTCTCTCTTGGAATCCTGCTATCTGCATATGAACAAGGTCAGGTTGGCCTGCTGGAGGATAAGACCATGTGAGGAGACCCCGGTTGTCCCAGCTGAAGTCATTTTTGTTGTTGTCATCTATTTAAAAGATCTTTATTATTGAAAGTACTACATATGTTCCCTTTTTTTCTCCTATTGACCCCTCATAGCCCGCCCGCTCTTGTTCTCTGCCCCAGGCCTCCACCACCCTATTATCTATATCTCTGGGTTATGCATATATGCATACAAGTTCTTCGGTTGGTCTCTTCCCACCCATCTACCCACCCCTGCCTTCCCTTTGAAATTCAACAATCTGTTCCATGCTTTTATGCCTCTGGATCTATTTTGCTCAACAGTTTATTTTGTTAAGGTCATTCTTAACCAACAGAAACCAAACATGTGAGAGAGCTCAGTCAAGATCACCGAGCTGTCCACCCAACATACATACACCAGGGGGAGATCACTGGTGCCAGCAGAGACAGCTAGCACATAGACACATGAGCAGCAGTAAATTGCCTGTTGTTTGAAGCCACTATGTTTTTTGAGGTAGTTTGTTACACAACAATAGCTAACTGATACACTTGGTCTGTTATGGATTGGAAATGGGAGTTGGTAAGGGAGGAGGAAGGAGTACTGGAGACAAGTAGTATGTTGACAGGAACAAGAAAACAAACCAATAACTAAAAAGCAGAAACAGAGACTCAAAGCATATCATGGCCAGGGCCCGTTTAGGAAAAGGGAAGCAGCTTGTGGCACTTTATGAGACCCTGACCACTGACGGGCTTTCAAAGTACATATAAGAACATGGACCCTGAGTCAACCGGAAAAAGTAACTGAAATGTGTGTTCTTTTTTAAGAAGGCAAGGGCATGAACTATATTGAAGACAGTCTCATTTAAAACAGTTAAAATAAGAAGGTGAAGGTGTTAAGCACCATTTATCCAGAGAATTCATTTGTGTGTGTGGGGACCGTACTTTCTGAAGCACAAATTAGGTAACATCCCAGACTGTTTCCAGGTGTAAAAGGCGGCCTAGGACATCTAGTTTGGTTGCCATGATGATGGCATTTCAGGCACATTTACCCACTCATGGGGACAATGGGACAATAGCTGAAACTGCGATGGCCTGAGAAATCTGTGCAGAAGAGCCAGCCTCTTCATGCAGGGCCCTTAGGAGGCAGCCAAGGGGGACAAACCTGTGGACGGCAGGGACAGCCTTAGGCAGTACACAGGGCTCTGTGTTTAGGAGACGGAGAAGAAAAAGGGAGGGAGGAACTCCATCAGCACAAAACAGCCACCTGCAGGGCCAGACTCACTCCTTGGCCTGCCCTGTTGGTTCCTCTGAACACCACACACCCAGTTCATTCCATCTCATGAACTTGAGTTGGCTCCTTTCCAAAGCACTGTTTAGCACACACTGGAAAATAACAATAATCATTCACATTCCCTGTATGTGTGCTAAGTGCCAAGGACTGGATCTAACTCATGCCATGGATTAACTCATTAACCTTATACATTAAGTGCTACTGCTCTCTCCCCTTAAAGAGGCAGGATCCAGACCCAGTGGCTGGCTCGACCTCCACCCCCTCGATTGTTCTGTTCTGCCCTTCGGTTTGCAGAGTTTCCCTTATTCCCTTCCTTGCTAGGCCTGGCTGCACCCTCTGACCCAGCCCTGACTTTGGCCTTTTTGGAACTGGACTTTCACAATCACCACCCTGCCACCTCTCCCAACATCAGGGAACTAAGTGAAAAACGGGGGCACCTGTTCTCAGGGGGATGCGGGCCTTTGCCTGGTGGCTTCTGGCCAATTAGCAAGGCTCGTGGGGAGCAGGCCCAGGAGAGCAGATCTGGTGGGGATGCGGGCGCCCACCTGAGAGAGCTCAGCTTTCACCTCCTGTGAGCCAGCAGGCGCACCCAAGGCCAGCTGCCAGCACCTCCCCCTGCCCCCACCTCTGCACAGCCCCCGACAGACCAAGGCTCCAGGCGGCTTTATCTCCTGCTAACACCCGCTCCTCTCCCTCCTCCTCGCTATCTGGGAGTTTCCTGGTGGCTCTAATGAAAAACCCTTGTGTCACATTGAAAAGTTGCCAGTGATTGCTGCTGGGAATAAAATCCAGTCTCTGCTGGGCGGAAACACAGGAGAGCTCCCAACTGTGGAGGGAGGAGTGGCTGGTTGGAATAATCTCTTCAAGGTGAGCGGCCTCTCAGGCAAAATGAGAGGGCACCAGGTGGGCCCCTCCCCAGCAGCCTGCAAACAAACAAACAGTGGGCCCTGCCAGGCTCCCCTCCCCCACCCGCCCCGCTGTCTCTCTTCCCTCATCAGCACACCAGCTGGGCATGCGCCTCCCCCAGGCGGAAGGTTCAGGCTCTTTCCTCACCCACAGGATAGGACAGAGCTGAGTGTCCCTGCTGTGGTGAGCTCTCAGGCCAGTCCGAGTGGTGGACAAGGGCTTCACCGAATCCTCAGAGACCGGGTCAGTCCACTTGCACATTATTCAAAATGCAGGTTCCTTACATCTACCTGGAACCACTGAATCCGAATCCCCAGAGCTAGGGTTTGGGGATCTCCATTCGTCACCCCTCGCCCTCACCTGGATCATCATGCTCAGAACTCCTGGGCCCAAGCAACTGACCCCCAGGAAAGGTGCTCCCCCACACACTCTCCTGGGGTTGCAGACTGTGAAGTGCCCTGTGAAGGCCAGGCGTTGCGGGCACCGACCCTCCCAGCATACCAGTACAGCCATTCCTGTCCTTGTTCACAGACAAAGAAGCTCCAGTCCTCACACCAAGGAATCGAGGCCATCCCAGCTGTGTTGCTCACTCACCAGTACTCGCAATCATAGCAAGATTTAAAAGGCAATTTGAGAGCCAGGTTATGATAGTGGAGTGCGGTGGCTCCACAGGCTATAGAGGCAGCGGACACAGCCACTCCCACACAATTGTGTGGCCTCTTTCCGAAGCATTTGCATCAGAGATTCTTAGCGGGGTTGATTTTGCTCTCCCAGGGGACCTTTGGCAATGTCTGCAGACATCCTTGGTTGTCACATCTGTGAGGTGGGGTTTGGCATTTAGTGGACAAGGGTCAGGGATGCTGCTAAATCCTATATAATAAAAGCCTAATATGCAAATCGACCAAACAGTGGAACGACCTGGTCAGTGGGGGGCGGGGCTGGCGAGCGGGTGGCACCAGGCCAAACAAGGTGGGTGCCAGTGGACAGAGGGAGGGAACAGCGATCGGGGGGCAGTGGTGACTGGTGGCAGAGGGGCGATGGGGGGGCAGGGCCGGTGCTCACCAGCCTGCTGGCCCCCCCACCCTCACCCCATCGGCCCTGCCGGTCACCTCCCGCAGAGGGAGATCACCGGTGGGGTGATGGGAGGGGCAAAGCTGGAACTGCCCCCTGGTGGTCAGTATGTTCCCACAGGGTGATTGCGGCTCAGCCACAAGCTGGGCTGACGGCTGTGGAGCGCAGTGGCGGTCGCGGGAGCCTCTCCTGCCTCCGAGGCAGCACTAAAGATGTCCAATTGTGGCTTAGGCCTGCTCTCCACGGGGAGTAGGCCTAAACCGTCAGTCGGACATTCCTCGAGGGCTCCTGGACTGAGAGAGGATGCAGGCCCTCCCCCGCCCCCCAAGTGCACGAATTTTCATGTACCATGGCCTCTAGTATCCTATAATGCACACAGCAGCCCCCTACAATGAAGAATCCTCAGCTCAGACCATCAATAGTGACACTGTTGAGAAACCTGGGAGGAATCCAAGATGCCATCAGTGACATGAACCCAGGTCCAGGGCCGTCCCTGGCCACGTGAAGGCCGAGCACTCATTCAGGTGTTGGGTTTGGGAGTAAGGTGTTCTTAGTCTCAATTTATTTATCTAGAAGGAAGGGACCAGTGGAGAGAGGCTTACAGGTTGACCACACACCCAGGCCCCCGTGTGAGCTGGGCTTAAAGACCCAATTTACTCTGATATCCAGCAAATACCAGGATCCAGCATTCACCCTTGATGCTTCAGATATTGGTCGTTGCTTTAACCTTAGCCCATAGACAAAAAAAATGTTCAGTTTGCCAGCTGCCTGATCAGATTTATTCCATACAGATTCCCCAGGTGGTCTCCCCTCTTCACTGAGAGTTCAAAAACAGACCATTTAGTTGACAAAATTGAGTCTCCCGCGAGTTAACGGAGTGGAACCAGCTCCTGGGGCAGGCTGTAGCACAAACGCCGCTGCAAAGCCAGGCTGGAGGTGCCAGTTTGTTCTTTACAGTCGATTCGATGCAGTTCAGTGGCTGATGGTGTGTGGCGGCGGAACGCCTCCCCGTGGTCCAGTCCCCTCCTGTTTGCTCCGCTAGCACACAATCTCTTTCCCCTATAAAGTGAATCTGTGCGTTTTATAGCTGAAAAGGGAGCCATTCCATTTAAATTAATCAAGGGACTGAAGGCAAAGGTGCATTATGCAGCTCTTAAGGACATTGACCTTGATTGACAAGGTCCCGTGGGCCCCCCCGGAAAGCTTTAGCCACAGAACGTTTCTTGACATCACTCAGGGGAGGCTGCTGTCTCTGCTGTCCTCACCTGGGCCTGTGGTTTCTCACCCATCGCTTAAGGGATGCCTACGGTCTGCCTCTTGGCATGGCACACACCTATTAGCCATAACCCTGTAACATTTCTCCTTCGTTACATTAGAAGAAAAGAGTAATTTTACGAAGGAGCACCTACCTTTCAGCCACTTTGGACATTTTTAAACAATGTCTGTCGATCTGTGCGTTCAAAAACGTTATCTGGGGAAAGATAGAACGGAGGTGTGAAGACCAAACTAGAATCCCCCCCCCACCCCCCACTGCTTTCACCCTGGGAACCCAAATCCTGTATTTCTCCCAAGATCCTAACACCTGCTCTGGATAGACTTCAACCCTCCAGCAACCATTTGCCTTTTAGAAACTTCCTACTGCCATTGGGATTTGCGACTAGCCCACATCATATGTTCTCCAGTACTGTGCTATCTATAGTTTAGGTCTGGATTCCCAAAACTGATTGCAAACTTAAAGACAGCACATGCTTTACAAAGCTGAGCAGCAGCGTGGACAGGTAACACACACACGTGATACCTGGCCTGACTAATCTCCAGGAACTCACCTGCTCACTTTTACACCTACATCACCTCCAGGTGCTTCGCGTACTTGACTAGAATCATCAAATAGCTATTTCACATACATGTTTCCGCTTCCCCACCCAATAACAAACTTGTCAAAGGCAGATACCTAACAGTTTACTCCTTGGGGTTCCCCCACCCTGGAGGCCAATAAAGCATAATGTGAGGAGTGGACTCTGAAGCTACTTCATCACCAGTGAACCCCAGAAAGGAGTAATGTAATTAGCCACTGTCTCCTGACTTGGGTTGAACAGGTAACTCCCCGTCATGAAGTAAGAGAACATGGGACCAAATAATGCCGAAAAGGTTTTGGGAGGGGAGCTTGCTGTTTTCATGAACTTTCCTTTTGTATCACAGCAGGTCAGTGGTCCCGGACCGGCTTACTCTGGAAGCACATTGCAATTTTAAGGACCTTGTAACATGACTCCCTCCCCGCGCCAGCTCCTATGGGAGACCGGACTATGAAAGTCTCCTTCAGTATCGGGAGAACTCATTTATGTCTTTCTTTCAAACTGCTGGAGGAACTTGGTAGAGAATTTCCCCTCTCAAGATTCCACAGGTTGTTCGCACACAGCACTCAAAGGTTCAAACCACCCACAGCTGGTCTCCACTGTGGTTTCCAGGAGCTCAGAGCTCACTCAGTTCTCAGAGGTGAACACTGAAAGGTTTCTGAACTGGCCACATCTCCTGCGGGAGGGCAGGAGGTCGTTCATTCACCTGTTTCCGGATATCCTCTTTTGTCGTTTTCCGGACTGGCTGACTGGGTATGTGCACAGGGCTCTGGGACTGGGACTCTTCTGTCACGCCGTACACCGACTAGAGAGGAAGCAAGAAGACAGAATCATGCACCCTCGGAGCTAACGGGGGCCTCGGGGGTGAGCTAGCTCAACCACTCACCCGCTGCTCCCAGTCCCCTCTGTGACCCCCAGCAGTGGATGATCAGCCTCTGCTTGAATTTCTCCGGTGATGGGAACTCTGTCTCCGAGGCAGCCCTGCCCCATCTGTGTGTTACCACTGCGAGAAAGCCCTTCCTTTTATTGAGCTGAAATGGTCTCCTTGCATATCAGTGTTTCTCCAAACATGGTCCTTAGACCAGCTGCAAAGAATCGTCTGGGGGTACTTGGTAAGGATGCACATGGACCTACTGAGTCAGCATCTTTGTAGATGGGGCTTGTGAATCTGTACTTTTATCAAATGCCTCAGGTGATTCTGAGGCAGGAGATCGTTCAAGAACAATTGCTGGAGATTATGCACAGAGACCCCCTCTAGATTTTCTGATGGCCTGTAGGTGACACGCCCATCTAGTACAAACTTGGGAGAGCAGAGTTTCAGATTTTTATGCTTTTGAGCTAAGTAGTTTTCTAGGCTCAGTTTCTCCACATCCCACAACTATGGCTGCTGCTTAAGCTATTCCTTGTGTTAGAAACAGGTTAAAAGCAATCTTTGCATTGGGAAAGAAACAAAACCCCAAAGGGTATACAATGCACAGCTGAAATCAAGAAGGGCTCAAATAGGGTAGATGTGGGCTCCGGGAAATTCTGGAATAAAATTCTATTGTAATTAGGGGGGCCCTTTAAGATTAAATGAGGCCATTTTAAGATGAACACTATAAAACATATTACAGTGGGCATCACTATCTCAGTGAAGACTGAAAGATGTAAGTAGATTCCAGAAGTTGATATATATGCCATGTCATATAGATATGAGAAAATGAGAGGATTGATTCTTCGGGGGACACATCTCTAACCTTTTGAAATTAATAGAATGGAGGCCAGACACTTTCTCCCACAATATGGTCCCTGGTGCTGCTGTGAGGGTGGGATGCATCGACTGTGGGGCTGACTGAGTATGGCACGCTTGGGTACACCATGGCCACTGCCCCTTCGGTAGAGTGAACACAAGTGACCATTGGCTCATTCACAATTGGGCAAGATGGTGATCTGAGTTTGGATGACCTTGCTATCTATACTAAAAGACTTTCAAAGTACTAAACTCACTTTCATCAGTGGGGTTTCCATACTTCTTGTTCCTTTAGTTTCCTTTCCTCCCCGCCTCCTCCCCATAGTCAACTGCTGTTTACCCTTGAGACCTCAGCACACTTGATCTGGCATGGGAAGCCCTTGGGAAGCCCTAGTCTGGCGCCCGCTCCTGGCACTCCTGAGCCATCCTGTACTTCCCCAATGCCTCCCTCCTGGCTCTGGTGTGTGTTGGCTTGTTTCGTCCCCACTGGCTGTGGGCTTTGTGAAGACTTATTTCAGCAGCAAAGGAGAGTGCTAAGCACACATCAGCCATTCCACAAATATTTGTCGAATAAATGAATGAAATGGTTTCAAGGGACGAAATGGGGTAGAATTAACAAATAGCAAATTATTGTTTGAACAGTAGCAGAAATGAAAGGGCCATTCACATCAAGAATTTTTAATTCAGCTACACTCTCGAACCTTTTTAACCTTTTGTGGGTTCTTCAAACGTCGACATTTTCTGATATCCATTTCTGTGGTGTTCACACAGCCTGGCTGAAAAGGAAAAACAAACACACAAAACACATCACATACATGACCGAGTGAAAATCACCTTCCAATGTAGCCCAAGTGACACCATCAGAGCCCATCTTTCTCTTTCCCTACACACATCACACAGGATTATCTCCACTTTGCCATTTGCAATTTTTTACAAAGACATAAACGTGTTCCTCCATAGAGTTTTCATATGAGACATAAAAGCTTATATTATCTCAGGATGATATGTAGACGGTAGAGTGTACAGTTTATAAGAGCAAACTTATTCCTCAAAGTGACAAGGTCGCTTCAGTCAGAGCCCTTGTTATTGCACATATCTAACCGACTAAACACACTCCAATACGTATCGGGATTCGGAATTATTTCTTTAGTTTTGCTCTTCACCAGTTTTTAGGAAGGCTGAGAGAGTTTATTCATTTTCGTTCCATTTCATGAGAAAAATGCAAGATTTGTTTTAATAAGATGAGATCAGAAATACAAGCATCCTGGATTTTGTATTTGTGAGTTTGCCTACCTGCTAAAACTTATTTATCACCCCTAAATCAACACTTGTAGTGCACCCACGGCCATTCAGAGACATTTACAGAGCAACAAAAAGTTTGGGTTGTCCAATGTGCATGCTCCCAGCTGAGGTCGAATAAGGTGACATTCAGTCTTCTTGTTTAAACTTTTCATATCCTATATAATAAAGAGCTAATATGCTAATTAGACCAAATAGTAAAACGACCATCTGGATGACCTTCTGGATGAAGCCAGGGCTGCGAGGGCCGACCGGGGCTGCGAGGGGCTGCAGGGGGCTATGAGGGCCGAGCCCCTTGCATGAATTTCGTGCATCGGGCCTCTAGTTGTAAATACGTGTCCTTTTCTAGGTCTAGTTAGTGTCACTATTTTCACATTTCTGTGGTTTTTTTTGTTTGTTTTGTTATTGTTGGATTTTATTGTTTAAAATGGCCCCCAAGCATAGTGCCGAAGTGCTGTCTAGTGTTTCTGAGTGCAAGAGGCCATGATGTACCTACAGAGAAAATGTGTTAGATGAGCCTCATTCTGGCATGAGACACAGTGTTGTTGGCCGTGAGTTCCATGTTGGTGAATCAACAATATATAGTAAGGTGTCTTTAAACAGAAGTGCGCAATAAACAAGGTTAGGCATTGATCGGTTGATGCAGTGGTTCGATGCAGTGGGTCAGCAATGGTTCAGGGTTCGCTGACTCAGTGTTTGTGGCCACCTTATGAAACATAACCGTGAATAACAGGACCTGGCTGCATTTAAAATAGAATATTCTAAGATTCAGTTGAACCACAGTAAATAAGGAAGTTGCTTATTTTGGGGCTGTAAATTTCCTGGGGCCAAAGGTCCCAGGTGGAGTTCCCACAGCTCTCCATTTCTGATTCCATATTTTCATGAACAGATAATTTATAAAAGGTAGAACTGGCATACATTCCAGAAAAATCTACTGAGATTATGTGAATGAGTGGCAAAACCATTCCACAAAGCTCAGCAGTGTTCTTAAGAAGGAGACATCTGGTGGCGAAAGATGGTCATTTCTTTCAAGCGAAGGAAGAAAATAAGGAAACTTAGAGAACTGAACAGAGCTTCCTCACCACTGGCCTGTGGACATCCCAGAAGGCCCGCTCTTGACTATCCAAGATTTTCCTCTCTGTTTTGTCCTTTTTCCGATCAATCCTGAAAGCATAAAGGAAGGAAATTAGAGACTTTTGCATTGTTTCCCCTGGTTCCAGAAGCTGAGACCACAGGACAATTGGCACCTGTGTGGTCTCTGCTCTGTGCAGAGCTGTGAAACGTGGGTGGACAGTTCCTTCAAGGAAACCTCACGAAGTCCACTCATAAGAGAACTTGTTTTAGGTTAGACTACAAATTTCCACGCATGTGTAACGAACACGGTGGGCCTCAGGGGAGCAGGAGTGCAACTGTCCCTTTGGAGGATTACGATTTGCATTATTAAGAACTGAATAAACCGTTGGCATGCCTCTGCCCATCCAAGTGGGCACTGTGTACTCAAATTATAGGAAGGAATAACCAGAGGCTTGCATTGTTTCCTCCTCAAATTTGAAAGTTTGCTTTAGCTTCAGAGTCAGTAGAAATGTCTTCAAAATGCTGCAATTACACGTTTTAAGACTCACTTAAACCAGCTGGTTGTTTAAAGTAGAGTAATAGCCTTGGTGTGTGACAGAAATCAGAAGGCAAGTACCAGGAAGCACAAACTGCAAGAGGGAAATTGCAAGTGACAAAGGCAGATTCTATGTTCCAATGAGGCACATAGATAAAAGGCGTTAAAATAAAGAAACAGCCTGTATTACTTCACAGTATCTCTCTAAGCAAAAAGTAACTCAGAATAATTGCCATGTAACTTCTGGTTCTTGGCTCTCTTGGGAGCACTTTAGGTTACTGGAATGAAATAAACCTGTAATCGCCCTGTGATTTTTGTGATAATCATTGTGTACTTAAATGGCCCACAATTATAATGTAACTAGAGGCCCGGTACATGAAATTCGTGCATGGGGGCAAGGGGGGGTGTCCTTCAGCCCAGCCTGCACCCTCTCCAATCTGGGATCCCTCTCACAATCCAGAACTGCTGGCTCCCAACCGCTTGCCTGCCTGCCTGCCTGCCTGATTTCCCCTAACTGCTTCTGTCTGCCAGTCTGATCACCCCCTAACCACTCTCCTGCCAGCCTAATTGATGCCTAACTGCTCTCCTGCCAGCCCAATTGCCCCTAACTGCCCTCCCCTGCCAGCCTGGTTCCCCCCCAACTGCCCTTCCCTGCAAGGCTGGTCCTCCCCAACTGCTCTCCCTTTCAGGCCTGGTCCCTCCCAACTGCCCTCCCCTGTTGGCCTGATCACCCACAACTTCCCTCCCCTGCTGGCCATCTTGTGGTGGTCATCTTGTGTCCACATGGGGGTGACCATCTTGTGTGTTGGAGTGATGGTCAACTTGCATATTACCTCTTTATTATATAGGATCACAGAGTTAATACAAAAATAATCCAGAAATACCATATATGTACAAAGTGACAATCTCCCCTCCTTTTATAATATTTGAAGCTGTATGATTCTGAAAGTACATGTGAATGCTCCTCCTTGCTTCCCAATGGCTTCTGAGAACACAGCTCCATTCAGCCTCCTTCTCACCCACTCACCCACCCTCCCACTTTCTCCTTCCCCAGGGGCCTGGTTCCTCCTGCTATAGCTCAGCACCCAGGGCCTGAGCCCCAAGTGGATAGCAGGAGGCTGGAATCCTTGGTGGGAGAAAGGCAGAGGCTGCAGAGGGAGGGCAAGGTCATGGCACCGTGTAGGCCACTGGACCCAATGACCATACGCATGATTAATGCTCACCCACACAGCCCGAGACTTGGCCCTAGGCAATGGGCTGTAACACTGTCCAGGGACTGCAAAGGGGGTCCCCTGCAGGCCCCATAAGGGTCCCTACATAGGTGCAAATGGTGCCCAGAGAAAAGGGACTCACCTTCTCCCAGCTCAGCATCCCTTTCCCTCCCCTCCTCTGACCCATTTGTTTTGTGAACCCTCCTGGCTAAGCCAGACCACTGCCGGAAAGGACAGGAGGGAACCCAACCTGAGCACGTCCATGTACCAGAATGAAAAGGATCTGGCCGACAACCATGACTGTGGGCTGGGGACACTCACTGGCCACGTCTCCTGCTTCCTTAGAGAGGAGGGGATTTCTACTCTACTCCCTGGGAGGGAAAAAGTGTGGGAAGACACTCCAGTTTCCCTCCTTTCATCTCTTGTCCACCAGAAGGAAGAGTGACATCTTACTGGAGGATTTGAAAGAAGACATTGAGAAAGCTCAGGTTGGTTCTTTCTGAACGTCTATTCTCTGCAGACAATAAGCCAACTGGGGTTAATTCTGCCCTGGTGGGGGCGCCTGCAGATATGCAGCTATGCCCAGGATGGGTGACTTTAATTTCAGGGCAGAGATCCAAGGCCACAGATCCAAAGTCATGCGCCATATCTAGCTTTTATCAGTAATAATCTGATATTTTGGACTCCAAGTGTCTGACTTCTGTGCCTTATTTTTGATTGGTTCTGGAACTCTGGGGAGGGAATTGGGTGAGGGGCTACTTGTCAGCCTCCCTAAAATTTTACCACGTTTTCCTATGAAGACGAAATCTCCACATCTACAGTTAAGATGGGTCTCAGGTTTTTCAGCCTCTGAGCACAGAAGAAGAATTGAAAATCTTTGGGGAATAAATACATCTTTTTATAACCAGAGTTCTAAATTCTGGAGGGACACCATTGTCTGCTGGAATAAACACTTGAAATTATTTTAGAGTGTCATGGTTACAAAGACAACCTTGATTTCTACTCAGCTGCTCTCATGAGAGATGACAGTGACTGACCACAGCTGGCCAGCTGTGGAAGGAAACCTCACTTGGGCAATTCCACACTCACACCACCCCCAAATCCCAGAGACTTTCTCTCTTCACAAGGGTCTCTATTAAGTTCACCTACTTTACTTGCGCTTCTGCTTGCATAAAGATGAATTCCCACTTCCTTGCAAAGGCCCTCTGGAGTCTTGCTAAGTTTTCCTAATGAGAAATGAAAATGAACAAGAAGGCATTAATCATCGTACGTTTGCACATCGACCCCTACACTCATTATAGAGCAGCCATCTATTTTGGTTACTCCCAACAAAATAGCAGGGCCCCACTTTAAATCCACTGGACATGAACCCAATGTGACTTTGCACCAGAGCCTGCTGTATGGAGCAGAACTATTAATATTCATTTGCACACCCATTAAGGCTGAAGTCCCTGTGGTTCACCTGATTCCCCTCTTCCTGTGTGTTTTACAAGAACACAACCCATGCAGCACTTGTCATAAAGGCCCCTGAAGAGAAGGAGAGTGGTTTGTGGCTATGCATGCAGGGTTTGGGGAAGGGACAAGGGGGGGTCTTTGCAACCTGCTGGACATCTCCGAGGGCAAAATGAAGGGTTTCTCAAGACTTGTTTCCCAGCAGGGGTCTTGGAAGGGGGCAGGAAAGAAGAACCCAGACTTGGCATTCATGTCTTTGAAAGTCCAGATTCAATAGTGCAGAAAAAGGAGTACATGTTTGTGATGTTCATAAAAGGAAAACCCAGCAGAAAGAAAGAAAAGGCATCCAGGGCTGCCTTTTAGAGGAAGAGGGAGGAAGCCCTTTCTCTAAGTCTGTAGACTTACCCAGTGGCACAATAGGACAGTGGGGAGGGGTGTTTGACAGGTCCCCTAATGACCTGCCTAATTCTGATGGAATGCAAGGCTGAAGCCCACATTATGCTGTGTGTTTTCATAGAGCTCATGCCAACACTAATTTATTACTCTCATCAGTGGATTATTAATATAAAAGGAGCCTCAGTTGAAGATCAACACACGTAAACTCAGTCATTAGTAAGGCTTGGTGAACAAGTACCTCAACAAAACTGTCCTTTTGATTCTTCCATTGTTTATAGGAAGCAACGGTAATGCACAAAAGTCAGTCAGTTGGGGAGTAGTTATATAAATTATGATGCAGTCATACCATGGAATATTAGGCAGCTATTAAAAATGATAATGTAGATTATTATTACTGACATGAAAAGATCCCCAACATACTTACAGTATAAGGTGGGGAGAGAAGCAGCTTACACAATAATGTTTATGGTATGATCCAAGTATTTTTGTAAAGAAAAAATGTATTACAGAAAAAGCTTTGGGGAAAAGGATTGCAGGCTATTTTTCTCTCCTTTCTTTGCAGTTTGAATTTTTGTTTTTACCAAGAGCATATGTAATAATAAAATTACTGTATTGTGAAAACAACATACTTTTTTTTTTTAGTTTCTACTTCTAGGCAGAACTTCAACCTGAAAGAACATTTTAATGTCATATTGGTCACAAATACCAAAGTAGAACATTATATGGCAAGAGAAGTGGACACTGAATAAAACCCACTAGGAGTTGATGCTGTCTTCTTTCTGTTTAGGACCTTTTCTAAAACATGGGAAATACAGGGAAGAGAGACAGTGGATGGAGGGGCTGTGATAGGAAGACCTGGCCTCCATTCTTGGCTCCATTATCAGTTACTGAGATTTAAGCTTCAGTTCCACCACTCATAAAATACTACCAGTATTAACAGTTACTCCAGAGGATAAATTTCCATAATGTTTGTGAAAGGGCTTCTCTCTCCCTCTTCTTCTTAGCTCCACAGAACAGTCATGCCTCCCTCTATACATACATACATAATGTTTCCACGTAGTTCTATTTAGTGGTTCCCACTAATAAGCAAACTTCAGCCAGGTTCTGAGGCTCCGTGTAAACCCCTGCAATGCATCCCCCGCCCCCCCCCCCCAGGTCCTGTGATGCCAGTGGGGACCAAGGGGGGGTGAAAGGTCACACACAGGCCCTGTGGCCCCGATGGCATGCATATTCCCCTTGAGCGGTGGAGAGGGGAGCCATGGCTCCACAGTTGGTCCGCTTGGGCACAGGTACCCAAGAGTGACAGGTCTGGCAGAGTGGGTCATCAGGCTTGTTTTGGAAAACGGAGGCAGTGAAAGCAGGAGAGGCATTTGGAGGGTGGGTGGATCTGAAGATGCTGTCAGCGCTGGATTATCTAGGGCAGCGGTTCTCAACCTGTGGGTCGCGACCCCTTTGGGGGTCGAACGACCCTTTCACAGGGGTCGCCTAAGATCATCGGAAAACACATATAATTACATATTGTTTTGTGATTAATCACTATGCTTTAATTATGTTCAATTTGTAACAATGAAATTGGGGGTCACCACAACATGAGGAACTGCATTAAAGGGTCGCGGCATTAGGAAGGTTGAGAACCACTGATCTAGGTAATGGTATTCCACTGCCTTTAATGCCGCCCCTCCTCTTAGCTGCTGGCCCTAGTCATTTTGTGGCTCAGCAGCACCTCCTCTGGATGGTTCATGGAAATTTAGCCTATTTCCCCCATTCTCAGTAACTCATATAAAATTTGGTTTTGGGGGAAGATTTTGTCACCAAAAACTAAAAATATTTTAAAAATTATTTGTGAACCTCAAGTTCTCTTGAGATTGGCTCTGTTACATGGGAATGGATATGAGTGTGCTGTGGGTCCTCCAGTTCTTGTAGGGAATCACTTGTTGTGAAAGAAGGTGGAGGGGGAGGCAGCTGGGAAAGTATATACTTCAAGTGACATACACCTATCTTACCTTCTGGAATGAATTTGGTCTTAGATTCTGCACCTACTGCCAAGCAAAGGTGACTTGGGGGGGGGTATAAAGATGCAATTAAAAATATCATATATTAAAATAAAAAATTATCATATATCAAATTTAAAAAATTATTATATATTAAATCGATTTTTCCCTTTTGGTGCACAGTTTCATGAATTCTAACACATGTATAGATTCATGTAACCACCATCATAATCAGGACACAGAATAGTTCTGTCACTCTGCCAAGCCCCTCACGCTCTTCATAGCCATAATCTACCTCCACTCAAAACTCGTGGCAACCACTGATCTGTATTTTCCCTCATGTTAGTCACACAGATGGAATAATACAGTTTGTAATCTTTTGAGATAGGCTTCTTTCACTTAGCATAATGTCTTTGATACTCATCCAAGTGGTTGCTTGTATTACCAGTTTATTCCTTTTCACTGAAGAGTAGTATTCTACTGTACGGATGTACCAGGGGTTATGTAACCATTCACCTGTTAAAATGCACTTGGGTTGTTTATGGCTTTTGATGATCACAACTAAAACTGCTATGAACATTAGTGCACAGGTTTTGGTGTGCACATAAGTTGTGACTTCTCTAATAGGATTGCTTGGTTATATGGTAGCTGTATGTTTAAGTTTATAAGAAATTGCCAGGCCATGTTCCGGAGTGATTTTACCATTTTGCATCCCCACCAGCAATGTAGGAGAGTTCCAGTTGCTCCACATCCTCACCAGCACTTGGCATTGTCAGTACTTCTTATTTTAGCCATCCTAATATGTGTACAGTGATACCTTAGCATGGATTTAACCTGTAATTCCACAGTGGCTTATAATGTTGAACATTTTTTCATGTGCTTATTTGTCATTCTTCTGTCCTCTTTGGTAAAGTGTCTGTTTAAGTTCTTTGCCCATTTTTAAGTTGAGTTGTTTTCATATTGTATATAAAAACATTATATAAAGATGTAATTTTATTGTGATGATAAGAAGAGCTGAGAACAAAGGAGGGGAAATAGAAGAGACTTCCTTTCCACTGCCTGAAAAGGATTGGGGAGTGCAAAGGGGAAAAATATGAGCTAAAACCCAGTTGCAGATAGATTTGCATTCTCCTCCCACACCTACCCTGGAAAATAATTATACTTACTGATTCATAATCTGCCAATTCCAGCCTTGCTTTATTCTGCATTGTCCTCTTACAAAGATAGATGGCTGAGGAAAGAAGAGAAATTACAACACAAACAATCACAAATCCATCTGTCCGTCCATCCATCCATGCATCCATCCATATATCCATCCATCCACTCATCCAGCCAACCAGCAGCCAGCCCAGCTGGCTAAGTGCCCAGCTGTGCTGTGAAGAATATGTTTCTATGTGGAATCCATGACTCCTCATCTCTAGGAATCTTTCTGCAAGTCAGGATGGGACGAGGACCCCATCTTCTAATCCTAACAACTCCCCTCCATCCTTTTCCTCTCCTTTACCCCAAGCATCCTGCATCAGGATAATCTTTCTCAAATATAACCATGTTACCCTCTTGCCTAAATGGCCTGCATCAACTCCTCAGTGACCGCAGAAGAAAGGTCAGGCTCCTTGGAGCAGCGTATTTGGTTCTTTAAGATCCAGTCTGCTTGTCTCTTCCCTTCCTCACTCAGGCATGTGAGGCTACCAAACATCTTTCAGCTCCACTCCTCTGCATACGTGTCTGCTCCATAGAAGCCCTTTCCCTTTTCTCTCATCTTTCCCTCTGTCTATCTAGCAACCTCCTACTAATCTATGAAGATCCAGCTTGGTGTTCTAGATAGCTCAGCATCACATCTATCCACCATGAAAACTAATTCCAATGCACTATAATTATGGGCTTAGTAGGCTGGGCCTTGCTCTAGGCCAGTGATGGCGAACCTTTTGAGCTTGGCGTGTCAGCATTTTGAAAAACCCTAACTTAACTCTGGTGCCGTGTCACATATAGAAATTTTTTGATATTTGCAACCATAGTAAAACAAAGACTTACATTTTGATATTTATTTTATATATTTAAATGCCATTTAACAAAGAAAAATCAACCAAAAAAAATGAGTTCGCGTGTCACCTCTGACATGCGTGTCATAGGTTCACCATCACTGCTCTAGGCTGAAGGCTCTTCAAGGGCAGAGGCTGTGTCCTACTCAGCCCGATTCCCTATACCCAGCACCAGGGCCGAGTCTGCCAGTGGAGTAGATGAACAGTGGAAAAAGAGGGCAATTTAGCTCTCGCTTCCCAAGCTAAGGAAGGGTTCTTATCCCTCAGTTGCCAGGACATTCTCCCTCAAACATGGCCTTCATTACTTCCTCTCCCTACTTCTGCTCCTTCAGTATCTCCCTCCTTCTCCAGTGACAAGTAGACCAATGCAGGGAAGACAAGAGATGAATGGGATGAATGAACACTAGAATAACCAGAAGGGAAGGCCAGAGAGGACCTATCTGTTGTTTGACAACTTAAGTACACGAGGGTATGTAGGCAACTCCTTGCTGAATTAGCCAACCTCCTCCATGTGGTCTGAAAAATTTACTGATGGCAGCCTAGGGTATGCTAGAACCTTCTGCTCACACCAGAGTTGTATGTGGATGAGAGTCAGTTATGTTTTTCCCCCCTCAAATATGCTTATGTTAGGCACACCTGTTATTTTAATAACGCAAGTGCACTAAATACTACACACACTGATGCAATTCATGTGAAAAGAGAGAGTTGTTTCTATGAAGTTGAATGGTTCAGAACAACTTGATAGAGGAGTGTTGGCTAAGATAGTTGCTGATAGGATTGGTACAGGTGAGATAACTGAAAAAAAAATAGAAAACATAATAAAAATTTCAGAGCAGTAAACAGGTTGCTTCAAAAGTGTTTTTAAATTCTTGATGCACTTTAAAGATGCCCAAACTGGGTGGTTTATTTTGAGTATGACTTACTGAAGAAAAAACCCTCAAATTATTGGGGCCCATAATCAAAGTGACTCTTTGGTCTTCCCTTAAGAGACTGCCAAGTGAATATAGCTTTGTATGTCTTACATTAATATGAAGTCATTAAGATAGGTATGTATCATTTTTCGTGATTCTCTACTTACCAACTTTTTCAATGGAGAGCTATATAGCTCTCCATTGTGTCTGATAAAGGTACTCTTTTGGTCTCTGGGACCATTGGTTAGGCAGCCTGTGGACTTGGGGGTGACCCGGAGCAGGAAGCCTGGCATGCCGCCAGACCCAGCAGGCCTGGTCTGGATGACCCAGGAGCAGTGCAGGTCAGTGGAGGTGGTGGCTGCTTTGACCATGCTGCCTCAGATAATATTTTGTATTGGCCACATGTGAAACTCAGGAAAATCTAAGTCAGACTGGGGCTCCATGGAGGCAGAATTGTCCTCAGAAATTTACAGCCCATCTAGGTCAAAATGGGCCAGCTAGGTTATAAAGTATAAAGTACCATGCAAGGAATGAAAAGCTGGTACCATTCCCCACGATCATGAGTTACAAGGTGGCATGCTTTCAGCGCATTTCCCCTGTGGCTAATGTCACATATGAGGGAATCTGTTCACCAGAACCGGGGAGGTGGGACGTGGCTGTGGAGTGGACCTCTTCTTGGCACAGACCTTCCCTGGGCTTGTCTGCACCACTACGGTGCCCTCAACAGTGCTTGCTCTAACATCTAACCAATCAAATGACCGCTGGCAACAGCAGCCGGTCCTATACCAGGGCATCTGGGGGACTTGCTTTAAGATCAGATGTTGGCTTTTCTTGGATATTTAATTTCTCATTGAAAAACCTTTGTCTTTTTGCCCTCATACCTGGCATTCCCACCTCATTGGCTTCTCACTTGGATGACGCAATGCCATCACAAGCGCATTGTGTATCATTGTGACAAAAATAGAACAGGTTACAGAGAGGCAACTGGTGGTTGCTAGAGGGAAGGGCACTTGGGGGACTGGGTGAAAGAGGTGAAAGGATTAAGAGGTACAAATTGGTAGCTACAAAATAGTCCTGGGAATATGGAATATAGTCAATAATATTGTGGTAATTATGTATGATGCCAGGTGGGCACTGGAAATATTGGGGGATCACTTTGTAAACTATATGATTGTCTAATCACTATACTGTAAACCTGAAACCAATACAAAATGATATTGAAAGTAAACTATAATTGAAAAATAAAAATAAAAATGCAAATAGTAAAAAAAGAACATGTTAAAAATTTATAAACAGAATGGGTTCATGTGTAACATGTGTAATTGAACATAAAAAAAATATTGACTTTATTCTACCTCAATGTACTTTAAAAATGGACTCATTTTCCAAACTGTCTGTGCTAGTGACATCATTATTTATCTCAATCTCCTAAAGTAGGAGATTGTATCTCTCTATTTTCCTCATACCCTCTAATTACTTTTTAGAACAATGGAATTTCAGCATTGAAAGTAACCCTGGCAACCATCAAGTAAGGACCCTTCATCGACAGATGGAAAAACTAAAGGCCAAGAGAGGTGAATTGATTTACTCACCTCTGGTTACGGGTGGAGGTGGAAACAGAATTAAGGTCTCGTTCAGAGCCCTTTTTCCACTATGACAGTCATTGCCCCATTTACTTATTCATTTTCCCATTTAAAAGTGTATTGAATGTCTCTAAGTGCCAAGCACTGTTTCAGGCGCTGGGGAAATCACCATGAGAGCAGCTACCACTTACATGGCGCTCACTGAGTGTCAGGGCCCTTCCCAGCATCCACTTACTCCTCACAATAACCCTGTGAAGTGGGTTCTCTACTGTCCTCATTTTATAGACGAGGAAACTTTTTTCCAAGTCATTCTCCATTATTGGGCTCCATTATGGCTCCCTAACACTGCTGATTCCATTCTAAATGTCTCTCCTCGACTATGAAGGCTTTTTAATAAACCTGCCCCTCCCAAACTATTGAACTTTCTCAATCATTCTTCATTAACATAAAACCTTTGAGTACACAGATCAGACTCCTCACTATGCCCTTCTTACCCCCATCATGCCACCTCTCTGGAATGCTTGGAGAACAAGACTGCGACTCATTCAAAGAGGTGACTGAGCAATCGATGCAGAGGAGGTGATTGGTCAATGTTTGTTGAATGAATGAAAGTTCCTGGTTCTTTGTCAATCCAAACCATACCTATTCTGAATTCTTAGCTTCAATTTCACATTTTTTCCTGGCAAGAGGGCCACCAGAGAACCAATAAGATCAAACATCAGTCTAGGAATGATAATACCAACCACCACTGAGGTTTTATTGACTCTTTACTATCTGCCATACACCAAACCTTACTTGTAGTTCATTTAATCCTAACAAGACAACACTGGGAGACAAGTACTATTATTATTTTGCTTTTAATATGAAGTTTCTGAGGCACAGAGAGGTTAAGGAACTTGCTAAGATCACACAGCTAGTGGAGCTAGTCAATGCTAGGCCCACTGTGCTGAATTCTTTCTTGGTAAATATTTTCTGACTAAACTGCTTTGGAAATGTTGGCAAGTGATTTGGAATTCTACACCTTGACTTCTCCATCTGATTTGCCAAAATCGAGGCATATGAATTAATAAAATAATTTTGCTTTAATGAGAGCCTGATATAAATCGTTATTGCTATCCCTGTTTATGCTGGACAACTAAAATTAGAAAATGGAGAAAACATGTAGAGAAAGGGAAATAATGTCCGTTGTATGCAGTGGCAGGTGGCTTAGGCTTTACAGTCAAGTAAATATTTCAATCTTACTTGGGCCCAGTTTTCTGGTCCTACCATCTTCCCCCCTTCACTATGGCCTGGAAAAATATTGGTTTCCCCATTCACAAGGGCGCATGGCTGCTGCACGAAACAGCTACAATCATTCAAATTCTGAATTGGGCTTTTGTTAGCAAAATTTCAGCCCCAGAAACACTTGTTTTATGAGCAGCCAAATGCAGCTCCCATTCTGAGCCAGAAGCCTTGCTGGATCCACTTATCACATCATTTAGGGTGCAGCGCAGTTCCAGAGGGGCCCGCGGTGGAGCCTGCAGACAGCCGATGTGACAAGAGAGGGTCCTGTCCTCTGTATGAGGGCCATTTTCCAGACTTGGAAACAGAGCATCCGTAATCTTATTAGGCAATGACTTGTTCACATTCCATCCTTAGGATTGCTTCTAATTGCTAGTTACCCCGCCCTCAAATGTGTGGCCTGGAGGGCGTAGCTGGTCACACAGGTCTCCGGGACCGGCTCCCCCAAATACTACCCAGTGGCCGCTGCCGCTGCCTGCCTGCCTGTGCCCACAATCCTGCAGAGAGCCTGTGGGGGGCGGGGGGGGGGAGCTGCTGGTCTCATCAAGTGCCCAGTGAGAGGACAGCCACTGTGCGGCCCAGCAGCTGAGCCAGTGATGAGGATGCTGTGCAAAGGGACAGGGGCATCTGCACGATGCCACGCACAGGGCCATGAAAGGAGCATGGGCCTTGGAGCCACTCAGATCTGAGTTCAAATTCTGCTGCCTCCACTGAGTGTCTGCTAAGCGCCTTCAATAAAGAGCAAATACTCAGCACCAGCTATGCCTCAGGTGTGCACTGGGGAGCCTGAGAATGAACAAGGTGGACTAACCCCGCCCTCTTGGAGCTCCTAGACACGTGGAAAGCAGTGTGATAACTGTGATAAGGGTGAGGAGGTGGCCGCTGGTTCTTTATCTGAAGTAGAGGGACAATGTCACTTCTTTAGAGGACTGGCACACAGAAATACTAAACAGCCTCCACAGAGAGCCTATGGCAAGAGTCTAATAGATCCCTCCCTTTATAAAGGCAACTCCCTGCTTACCCAGCTCCCAACTTCACCCACTCGTTATTTTTCTGGACCAGGGTAACGTCTGTATATCCCTGCTCTGATATTTCTCAGTTTCTCCCTAATTAATAAATGTTAACAAGTCTGTGAGGATAGAAAGGGTCAGGGGGTGGTGGCCCCCTGATCTCCTCCTCCCAGGGCCCCTTGATCTAGTCCTCCCGGGAAAAGTCCTACAGAGTTGCTGTGGGATCCTGGTTTTCCACGGCCCCACAGAATGAACCTATTGGCCACCCTTGATAGACTTCTTCCGCCCCCCATTTCCTTCCCACGGCTGCATCTTCCGGTGTGCGCTGCCTTTCTCCATCACATGAACAGGATGCTTATTACATGTCAACAGTATGACAAAGGGCTAAGCCGGCTCCTCCCCTGCACTCCATCACTCCATCGCCAACACCGAGCATTTGCCTTCGCACTCCCAGCAGTAACACTGAATGCGGGCTGTGCCTTCACTGCTCACCATAGTCCGTGTTTTCAGGCTCCCAGCAGTTCGACGGCCAGAAGTACGGAGCCTGCAAAAGAGCAGAGCTGTCAGGACTCAGAAGCAATTGCCCTCCCCTGCCTAGGGGTCAGGGTCAGCCCTCCCTGCACCCAGCGAGGACCCCTCCCTAGGACCGGCTCTGTCCCCATCTCCTTTGTGCTGACACCACAGCCCAACCCTCTCCTGTTCTTAATGCAGCTGAGGCCAGTCAACATTTTAATTTAGGTGCTGAGAAATGAATCCAGGTAAACAAATAAGTGAGAAAATGAGAAACTTAGTTTATAGGGCAAAACTTTCTTATCCTGAGACAATAGAAGTCTAACTACAGAAAATAGACTGGCATGGTTTTTTGGGTACAAGCCCCAAGTTCCTGAGTAGTGCCCACCCTCCCCCCTCCCCCCCCTAAGTTCATATGATGAAGCCCTAACCCCCTGTGGCTGTATTTGGAGTAAGGAAGTAATTAAGGTAAAATGAGACTTTTAGGGTGGGACCCTGATCCCATAGGATCAGTGCCCTTATAAGAGGAAACAGCAGATCTGTTTCTTGTTCTCTCTCTCTTTTTCTGTCTCAAAAATACAACAAGAAGCAGCTATCTGAAATCCAGGATGAGCATGTTCACCACAAACGAAGCCCGACTGACACCTTGATCTTGGACGTCCAGCTCCTGAACTGTGAACAATAAATGCCTGTTGTTGAAGCCACCCAGCACGGTATTGTGTTATGGCAGCCTGAGCAGACTAAGACACCCTTTGGCCCTGTCTGAAGAACTCGCTTCTAAACCCTTTGGTTTTGACCTGGACACCATCCCTTATCCTCTGCTCCAGATCTAGGATGGGATCTGAGAAAAGGAGTGGAAAACGGGTGTGACGGGTTAGCAGGTAGTGAATAGAAACATCACACAGGAAGTCAGCATGATTCAGGAGAAAGATCATGGACTTTGCTATAAGGCTGACTAGGTTCCAACCAAGGCTATCTCTTAGACTTACTAAGTGCCCATGAATTCTCTGAAGACCTTAGCTTTTCCTTATAAGAGGAAACAGCAGATTTCTAGAAAATGGGTGATTTTTGCTCCCCAGAAATGTTTTCTTTAGAATAAATGAGGAAATATGTATAAATTGTTCAATAAATAGTAGGTTCTCCACAAGGGCTTTTCTGTATTATTTGGGTGGAGCAACAAAGGGCCCAGACAGAAGTTTGCTTGGTTTTCCCGAGCTGGTGGGAGATAAGCGTTGCTCCCTCAAATACACTCAGTTTTTCCATGTGTCTCTAATCTGCAATCAGAGGATGATGAGAAGAAAAGGCTCTTCAGGAGGAGCTGGCAGGCCTACCTGGAACCGGTAAAAGGTGCCATCGTCCTTCATGGTGAGAACATGGTCCGAGATGGGAAAGACATAGCCCTGGGCAGCTATAAGGCTTCCCAAGTGTATTGCTTCAACTGCAGGGACAGGAAGTAAGAGAGAGAAGTAATTAGGAAGCTGTCAGAGTGGAGGGCTGCGTAGCTGAAATGTAAGCTGTGAGTGCAGAAAGGCAACAGGAAGTCAACTGTCATCACCCCTAGATAACTACTGACTGATTGACTGATCGTTCAATGACTTTATGATATGATTGCATGGACTGGGGGAGTATCAATGGTTGGGAAGCACTACCAAGTGTCTGGGACTCCTCTGCATCCCAGCTCTGACATTACTTTAACCTCCCCGCAAGACTTCCAATAGAAAGTGCTCATGGTGAAGAGCATGAGCTCTGGTGTAGATAAACCTGTGATAGTTCACATAAGGTGTGTAGCGGTGTCTGGGGCAGGGTCAGTGCTCAGTAAGTGCTGGCTGCCTGATTCATATTTTTATTCTCCTCATTTCTTATCATCCTCAGCAGTGAGCACACAGCCTCGCCACCCACAGACACTCTGCACTCAAACTGCATTGTCCGTTGTGACAGCCCCTTCTCTTAGGGACATAAAGGCAAGCCTCACTTTTGTGGTGAGCAGTGTAGTGGGCAATGGCACGGGGAGGCCAATGTGGTAAAAAATTTAGCATCATCATCAAAATAAATGTTGACTTTAAATACATGTAACTAAGCTGGAAGAGACTTATTCAGTCCAGTTTTTGTAAGTGGACAATCAGAAGTCCAGGCTGCATAGGAAAAACCCACAGGCCAGTTGATTCAGGTTCTTTCCTTAAAAGGATTGGCAGGTATCGTTTTCCCCTGTGGAGAAAGAACTTGACTAGAATTAAGCATTTTCATGAGTCATGAGAGTGGCCATTAATCAAGGTGGTGAAAAAGGCTACTGTCACTTCATTAATGACCTGCTTTTCAGGCACTCAGGTTTCTGGCAACTATATTTAATCAAACTCTATGTAAATTGTATTGTTTTGTAGTCAATAGTATATTAGGAGCATCAGATTAAAATACAGGAATGCCTGAGTTGACATACTGACCCCAGTCAAGAATCATAGCTGAAGGATAGACATCTAGAAAGGGAACTTGAGAAAAGATCTTTAAAAAGCATAGCAATTGTCCAGCCAGCTTGGCTTAGTGGTTAAGTGTCGACCTATGAACCAGGAAGTCATTGTTTGATTCCCAGTCAGGGTACATGCCCGGGTTGTGGGCTCGATACTCAGTAGGGGGCATGCAGAAGGCAGCTAATCATCATTGATGTTTCTATTTTTCTTTCCTTCTCCCTTCCTCTCTGAAATTAATAAAAATATATTTTTAAAAAACATAGTAATTGGAGGCCATTTAATTTGGGGCAAAGAGGTCTAATCTGTAAGAACATCAGAATACATGTATGGGTATTTATACATATGAAATACAGGCACCAGGAATACTCAGTTAAGACAGGGAGTGAAAAATAAATTCAGAAAAGTATTAACTAACAACACATGGTAATAAGCTATACTTATCTAGAATTTTCATTTGTCTAGAACTCCCCATTTTTCATTATGCCGTGAAAATAAATTTTACTGCTTATTTACTGGTGGGAGGACAGATTTAGAAACTGTTTTATTGGCTAGAGTTTTGTTATTGTCTTTCTGGTAAGGTTTTCCTAATTGAAATGCACAATTAAAGTTGAAAAAAAATAATTTCTTCCCTTCTTGCAGAAGAAGAAAACAGAAGGCATCTTAGCAAATAATTAAACATCTTAATTGTGAATCAGGCAATCTAATTTTAAGATCCGGGTCTGGAAGGCTGCTCAGTGACAGCGCTACAACTTATCTTTAATTGCTGTGGCTAATGAGAATTCAACTCATTTCACATGTTACTGTATTGGACTCTTTGGCATTCTCAATGGTTACTCATTTCCTCAAAGGGTGATTTAAATTTAAAGGTAGCTATTCAGTGGAGAAAATAATTCAATTTCATTTGTAAGTAAAGAGGTTCCACATCTTGGGATTCACCTATAAGCCCAGTTCTCAGGAGGGTAGGAGATCTAGTCTGGAACTTGGTTATGTGGTATGTTTACTGATACCATGAGGGATAAAGTCAGGGTGGAAGGTCAAGTACCTGGGTCTTCGATGGACAGGTTCTTCATCAGCCACTGCACAATGTCAGTACCTGCAATGATAAAGCAATTCACCTGAAGACCTGGTGGGTGGTAAGCCCTGTGGCAGAAGAAGTATATTTACCTAAGACAGTGATCATTTGAATTAGCACACACCTAGAGAGCTGGGCGGTACTGATGCTTTTCTATCCTAACACACTCTTTCTACCCATTCATTAACTTCCACAGTTATAATCCCATTCTTTTCCAAAAAAACATCCAACTCTGATGACGCCGAAGGGTCTTGTGTGCACACGTTTCTGGGGAGCATCTGTAGGGGACATCCTGCGCATACAGATGTGGATAACTTCCCCAAGATGGGCTGGTGAAATTTTACCATGCCCGGCCTGCAGACCATTTCCTACGGAGAACAGCCTCCTCCGTTCCCTACCCTTACTGACAAGGGCTGACAAGGTTCCTGAAAATGTCTCTAATTTCTTCTGGCATGGGCCCACCCTGAAAGGAAGTAGCCCTGTGTCAGTCTGTGGGAGAAACTTCTCTGTATTCACTTGTCCCCTTGGCCAGGTGACATTTCCTGATGCTCCTGCAGTTTGGTGTGGATTGAGTTCTGACAGTGGGCATGATGAATGTTGCTTTTAGACACAGGCCGTGAAAACTCCCATGTGGCCCTGCACAGCTCCATACCCCTCTGTTCCCCACCTGCTGGCTGAATGGAGAGGACTTCAAGGGCTCAGGGCGGGCAGAGCCACAATGTGGAAGGAGCCTGGGCTTCTGAACAACCATGAAAACTGATGCCTATTTGGGGCTCTGACCTGATTGAAAGTGTGTCATGTTAAGCCCCAGAAATTGGGGGCTTACCTGTTTAGGCACCTAGTATTATCTTAACTAATTTAAAATCTTAAGAGTCAGGAGGGACTTTTAAAACTTACTTGCTCCAACTCCAGCCAATACATGAGCCCCCATCCGCAACACCCTGGACAAGAGGTGCTGTAATCTCCATTTAGAAAAATCCCAGAACCTCGGAACTCACAGATCCCTCCTAGCCAGTCTGTCCCAGTGGAATCGTCTTTGATTTCTGGGAGCAGAAACTGGACTTATTCTGTGGCTTGCTCTCTTTGGCCTTAGGTTTGCATTCTAATGCTAGGAAAACAAACCCAGACCTTCTCACTCTGTGGGACAGGTCTTCAAACATTTGGGCAGTTCATCTGACATACTATCGGCATCTCCTTGAGTGTCATCCCCCCCTTGTGAGCCATGCCTGGGTCTCTCACCATTTTGGTCACAATTAATTCCCTTTTGTCTACCTCCATTTGGAAACGTGGTTCCCAGAACCAATGTTTCCTAGGGCAGCCCAGTTCCCATGAGGAGTTGTTTTCGGAGGATTCTGAACTTCTAATCAATTCACCCCAAATCTCACTTTAAACCAGTGCAGACCTTCGACGGTGGCTTTGTCATTTCAGGATGTATGCATGACAGAAAATAGCCCGAAAGGGGAGCATTTCCAGATATTCAAGTCCTGGCATGGGTGTAAGGCTTGGTAGGAGAGAGAGGGCCCATGGACAGCTCTCCTGGGATAGATTCCTGCCTGAGAGACTGGAGAGCGTGCAGAGGGGTTTAACTGTTGTCCTTTACCAGAACTCAAGTTTCTAGAAATTTGGTTGCCAGTGGGGAGACCAGTTCCGGCCCGAGTGCCTATTTGCTTCTCTTTGACTTTCTGGAAGGTCGATGAACTCTCTCTACACGGCAAACGGCCAGGGGCCCATCCTACTCTTTCTGTATGTCCTCCCTCCCCCACCACCCCAGGACCAGTCTCCACTGCTGCAGGCCTCCCCACATCTCCACCTCAAAAGCAAGACTTCTGAGCTTTCCCGTATTCTTGCTCCCGGCTGGCATCTATGAGCTAAACTTTGGCTCCAAAGCACCCCTACTCATTCACATTCTTCGAGAGAAAGGGAGAGGATGTCTGTGTGTGCTTGTGCGTGCGGGTCCATTTCCTCCAAATTATACAAGTTCAACATTTGTCCTAGGAAATGAAGAACAAAGCAGAAATCAAATAAGGACTGTAATCCCAAGTTGGGGGTGGGGGAGAGACGCTAACCTGTTTTTCCCTCAAAAGAAAAATAGTCCTTTTTTGCGGGTTGCCTGGAAACGGAGAGGTTTCCAGCATCAGCAACCGCTCTCCCCGGGGCAGGCGGATTATCTTTCTGCTGAGCTGGCGGAACCATTATTTATCACCTGCCAAGACTGATTACTCACCCTGGGACAATGACAGCCCTTCCTTTCCCCTGTTAATTACTGTCATCATTAATATCCATGTCACTAATTAGTATTCATTCACACTGAAACTCCTTCCTCGCTGTCATATCCGTTCCCCCTCCACCCACCCTAGCCCGCAGCACCATTGTCTGGGTTTCTACCCCCTTTTGGCTTTAAGGGCTCAGCGTCTCGCCTGCTTGTCTGCCTAGTCCACCAAGGCCCCATCTGCATTCAGAACTGAAGGATCCCATTTAATCACATTTTGTGTGTGTGTGAAAAGGGGACAATCACAAAGGCCCCTTTTCCTTTCCCCTGGCACTGTGGGGACCACAGGCCTTGGTTTCTTGTCCTGGGTGCAGCCCCCATGACAGTCAATGTCTTCATCTGGGGGCTGGTGTGGCTGTCCTTGGCCCTGGTTGAGGGCTGGGCTGCTGCCCCTGGCTGTCCTGGCCACTGCTGTCAGGGCAGTAGCACCCATCACCCCGCCATCCCACACACGCTACTGGAACATGAGGTGGCCGTCAGCAAACATGACAACGCCTAGGGCTGTGGACTCTCCCTCTGTGGGCGCAGGGTGTCCTAGGCTTCCGAGGACTGATTTGGGAAGGCCAGCCCCCAGTCTGATGGCAGAAAGTAAACCGCTGCCTGTTTGGCCCCAGAAACAAGTCAGGAAGAAAAGTCCGTCCTAATATTATGTCCATTAAAAGACCTACAATTGTTCCACTGTAGAATCAGAGAAGAGTAGTCCAAACCACCACCAGGAGTAAGTATTCTTCTTCTCCTTGTTCTTCCTTCTTCCCCCTCCCCCAATCATTCTTGCCTTCTTATTATAAAAAGAATTTCAAGATTATTTTCTGTTCTATCCAAAATTTGTTGTTGCCTTTTGTGATCACAACTGGGTTCTGGTTCTTATCTCAGCCAAGCTGCCCTGCCAAGGACTTAAAATCAATATAAAAACACTGCCCAGCTGGCATAGCTCAGTGGTTGAGCACTGATCTATGAACCAGGAGGTCACAGTTAGATTCCCAGTCAGGGCATATGCCTGGGTTGGGGGCTCAATCTGGGGGTGGGGACGGGAGGGAATGGTGATCAATGGTTCTCTTTCATCACTGATGTTTCCATCTCTCTCTCCCTCTCTCTGAAATATCTCTGAAATCAATAAAAATATATTAAAAAGCACACACACAAAGAAACCCACTAGCAACAAGTGTGGGATGGTCACCCTTTATTCCCCAAGGTCCCAAAACACTTGGGTCAAAGTTTTCTTTTTGAGGTGAATTTATCAACATACTGCATATTCCAGGGGCATCATGAAATACATCGGAGGGCACCTGAAACACTTGTCCACAACATGAGTGGGTTGCTAGCTGAGCCCTGATTAGATTATGCAAACTCGAGAAAAGGTTGGTTCCAGTCACCTGCAAATTTCAAGGTACCTGAAACTTGATAGCTTATATGTCACTAGTAGCCTGGTGCACGAAATTTATGCACTGGGCGGGGGGGAGGGGGGGGAAGGGGATTGGGCCTAAGTTGGCAGTCAGACATCCCTCTCGTAATCCGGGGCTCTTGCAGTCCAGGACCCCTTGCTCTTTACTGCCGAGGTCTCAGCTGCCTGTGAGTGAGGAAGGCAGCCTTATGCCACCTCATCGAGTGTGTAGGCCCCATGTGCAGGCCACTGCTCATGTAGGGGGGGCGACATTCCTGAGTGCCCACTGTGTACCAGGCCAGAGCTGTGCACTTGACCCTGTTATCACATATCATCTTGATGACAATTATGTAAAGTACTAGAGGCCCAGTGCACGAATTTGTGCATCGGTGGGGTCCCTCAGCCTGGCCTGTGCCCTCTTGCAATCCAGTACCCCTTGGGGGTTTCAGCCCGATCCCCACAAGCCAGGCCGAGGGACCCCACCGGTGCGCGAATCTGTGCACCGGGCCTCTAGTATGCATATAAAATTTTGGTTAATCTCTTCCCGCCCTCCCCCCTCCCCCCTTCCCTCTGAGATTCATCAGTCTGTTCCATGTTTCCCATGCCTATAGTTTCTGCTCCTACATTGAACGTCTGCCCTCTGGTGGTCAATGCTCATCATAGCTATTGGCCAGTTGCTTAGGCTTTTATATTCTACACTAGAGGCCTGGTGCACGAAATTTGTGCACTGGGCGGGGGTGTGTCCCTCAGCCCAGCCTGAACCCTCTCCAATCTGGGACCCCTCGGGGGATGTCTGACTGCTGGTTTAGGGATCGGGCCTAAACCAGCAGTCGGACATCCCTCTCACAATCCGGGACTGCTGGCTCCCAACCGCTCGCTTGCCTGCCTGCCTGATTGCCCCTAACTGCTTCTGCCTGCCAGCCTGATCACCCCTAACCACTCCCCTGCCAGCCTGATCGACGCCTAACTGCTCCCCTGCCGGCCTGATCGCCCCCAACTGCCCTCCCCTGCTGGCCCGGTTGCCTCCAACTACTCTCCCCTGACGGCCCAGTTACCCCTAACTGCCCTCCCCTGTCAACCTGGTCCCCCCTAACTGCCCTCCCCTGCTGGCCTGATCACCCACAACTGCCCTCCCCTGCCAGCCATCTTGTGGCTGTGGGCGCTGCCATCTTTGCGGGCGTGGCAGTCAATTAGCATATTCCCTCCTTATTGGCTGTGGGTGCCACCATCTTTGAGGGCAGGACAGTCAATTAGCATATTCCCTCCTTATTGGCTGTGGGCACCGCTATCTTTGCGATGGTGTGAGGGTCAAGTAGCATATTCTCTCTTTATTAGATAGTATAATAAAAGCCTAATATGCTAAGTGTCCAG